AAAACCAAATTAGTTTGCAAATGATTGTATATTCGATATCATTCTAGTTTACGTTTCGCCCCATCCCAGTTCGCAGATTGCTTTTATCTCTACCTATGTCTGACTCGGCGTTCCAGTAGGAATTGGGGGATGGTATCCATCTGGTGGGTTCAAGAAGTAGTTGAAGCGTTTCCCTTGATTCCCTAAAGAGTATCATATCAAGCAGAACGGTCCAATATCTCAAATGTTGTTTCGACTGAACTTTGAGGTGACTTCTATGTTTTGGTCGGCCTGTTCATGTACAAAGTTAGATTGGTGGAGCTTCGTGGACTAGACCTACTCGGTGAGCTCCACAAGGGACAGTTTTCTGAATGTCTTTCCGACGGAAACATCAAGCGGCACAGCAAGTTTAGCTGTGACGTGTCTTATTGATGGATTCGACTGATTCTACGATTAAAAACACGCCTATTTACAAATGTCTGACTATTCGATTCAAGACTGGTATTCCCGATTATTCACGTTTTGAATCCATCTGCACAGCGACCGACTGTCTCTGGCACTGTCGACATAAGGACTGCTCTGCCCGTCATCTTATGCTACAAAAACTTCAGAAACTGGGCATGCGGTCCACGAACCAACCGGTAGTCTGTTTGCACACAATGCGGCCGCTTTGTAGAATTCACTTGCGCCCAAACTAAGACCTTTAGTTACTTATGAAAGCCAGCAACTGCGCTTGTCCTTTTTGTGATTCTTTGAATTTGAAATCCTTGGATAGAACAGTCATTTCTTAAGCGAACCTTCTCGGTCGATCGCTTTCCGTCAGTGGAACCAACTTGGGAAGTGGTTCACAGTGGTTTGCAAACCTTCCCTGGTGAACTGTATTCTGAACGGTCTTGTTGGGCTCGCTAGGAGATTTTGCTTTGTTTTTCAGGCAGCTGATCTCGCTTTCAGCGAATAAGTGTACACGTAGATCTTCCGGGAGTCGTTTGAAAATGTCTTCATTTTGAAGATGTGCATTTCGTTTTCGCAGACCCTAAGTTGCTAAGTTTACATGTTCGTTGACGTGAAAAACGGAAGACCCAATCAGAATGCAGTAAATCGGCTTCCTCAGAATCCACGTTAACTGGGCATCGACCAAGGGCAACTGGCAAATCGTGTATCCCAGTTACATGTACATATTTCTCCAGCGGTTGTGTTTTAGGATGCAGGCACAGATGGATTATAAGCTGTTTAAGTGGAGCTTTTTGTCTTAATCCACAGCACAAACACTGGGGAATGTCCGTGGACTGACCAGTTTATAGCAGCCTAAGGTTCATTTGTTTCTGGAATTTGTGGCTGTCGTTCCGCTTCGAAATTGGGAATCCATCCCAATGGCAAGGTTCTCACTCCAACTCCATACTTTACAAATAAGGAGCTCACTATTTAACTACCCCCATGATAAAAATGGTACTCTTACATATCCCCTGGACGATATTGCTGCTAAAGCCGTAGAAACTACAATCTCATTGGGCGCAGTTTTTTTAAACTGACATCTCCAACGTCTTCATCGAGTATGTGTCTTTCAGTCAAGATTCGTATGTTTGCACTAGCATTTTTGGCCGTATTTTGACGCACTTTTCACATTGAATTTGGTTTCTAGTTTACTCTAGTAACCGAAGAAAATTCGGCAGCAAGTAAGCTGTTAGTTGACACGACAAGACAGGAAAAAACGCTCTTTATAAGTGGGCGGATTCGAAAACGAAGTGCACACTATAGTACGAGGTAGGCGGACGCCGTTTTCAGTCAACCCGTGGTTCGGTTTCCATCAATTTTCATAGCAGCACAACGAAATACGAAGTAAACGAATCAATAAATTTTCTGGAACTGACTAACCAAAGAAAGTTCGCCGTTGATCTATTCCAGCAGGTATTGATTGGTTGATTTGAAATGTCTGGTTGGCGTGTAATCGACCAATCGGTTGAACAGACATGGCTGCTTCACATAATTTGTTTAGCGAATGCTGGTACAAGCTATAGAATAAACCAAATGTTTCGGTTTCTATTCGGTGTTTGCCGGGGTTACTGAAGTTCATGTGACGTCGTAACGTGGAACGTATTCTGTCAGTACATGCTGCGCGCACAAAAAGCTAAGTATTATAGAGCTGGATCCAATGAAGGTGTGAACATTAAAATAATGTGACCACGATTTGGAAATCAGTGAGGTTCACAGCACATCGGGCCAGTATAGCTGGTGTAATTTGAGACTAAAAGAGAGGGTAAAAGAGTCAACGTTGACACGAGCATATAAACTCGACAAGACGTTCTTTTCCTTGAATGTCACAATCGGTCGTCGCCCCCTAAATCGTCCGCTTCACCAATGCCCGCTGGCTCTTGTACCAATCAAACTTCGAAAAAAATTCATGGACCCTGACTTGCGCTTTTTTGGCCCGATAATACCCATATTCCGGGTACAGCGACAATTCGCCATATGAAAACACATCCTGTCAAAAGATTGAACTGTGTCTGAAGAAAACTGGCTAAAATGATAGCATGCCAAGGATGAAACCTGACAGGTGAAAATGTCAGGGATTTAGGCGTTCGATTTCATAGTTGCTCAAATTCAAACTAGATTTCCTTAAAGGGTCGGAGTCCATTCCATTTCGGTAATGGAACGAGCTATGGCACGTTCGGCCAGCTGGCTATTCCCAGAATATTTAACTCTCCAGTCTTATCAGTGTAGAGTGAACGACATGACTATCTCTTTGCGGTCATAGGCTTGTTTTCAGATGCCCCTGTTTTCTTATTCATCTTCATAGCACAAAACGGACCGGTTATTTTGTCTACTGATAACCGCCAACCGGTGAACCGCATCTAGTTTCGGCAAGACTGGAGAGTTGTCACCACTGCATACGACTTTCCGGCCGAATCACCTCTAGATGGGCATGGTAGCAGGTTTGAGAACATCACTTGAGGAGCGAATACTCAGTAGCACATTCATCATCATCGACACGGTGATATTAGTGTCCAACACGGATGCTTGACTGCTGTGGAACCATGGTTTAAGTGAAAGCCTTATTGTGAAGAAAAGAATAAAAGTTTATAGGGAAGGAACTAGTACAAGCCTACCACAATCATATATTCATTCAGACAAGCTGGATAGAAACAGAGGAACACGGTTGAAATGGATTAGCAGCCATATCTTGCAGCGTCCTTAACGAACTAGATCCCAAAAAACTGTCCCCTCATGCTCCATCCATATGGCTGCAGTGCTTGGATGCAAGACGCGCATTTTGTATCTACATGTCTATCGTTTGAAAGGTACTCCTCCTGTCTCAGCAAGACTTATAATAATTCGAAACAACTATGAAGAAGCATTGCGCTCATTTTTCGTTCTTCTTCTCAGAACGTGTCCGCAATGCGTGTCCTTGAGAGTATTGGAAATCGAAATCCAGGTATCTGGCGGTTAATTGCGTATCACTCGAAGTCTGGAAAAGTCGGATCCAGGAATAAATTTTGGATGTGTGTGAGTAGAAACAACGTCAAACAGAGTGCCCAGCGATACAGATCTGAAAAACCTCGGGTAGACAGCAGTACGAGCAGCGCATTTCGATTCTTGATTTCCTTTATCCTTTCAAAACTTCCAAAAATGTTCGCCAAACCGTGGTAATATAAATGGCATCTCAGAGTTCCGACAACTATCTGAGGCCTTTTGCTCTCACTCTCAGAGTAGTGAACCTCCTAGTGGTCACCACTAAGAGTAGAATGCTCATTATCAAACACCGTAGAGGCATGACATCGAGTCCACTGTCAACCTGTAGCCCTGAGAGAGTAACTGAACATTTTGACTACTAGTACACAATCAAGTAGCTTATCGAAATTGGACTGGATTCTTGTCTCACCTCGAGCGAGGTCTACCAGGAAATCTGTTCAGCGCTTGGGGTGTCGGTGGATATTCCGAGGGCTTCGACTATTTCGTGGGGGTCGAACTTCCCCATGATTCTGCCTAATGGCCAAAAGACCTCTGAAGCTGCAGCTTGGTAACTCCGCTTTGTGTCTACTTGAAAGTGAGATTCATTACGGAATCTGTGGAATTGCATTTGTTTACATCTTAGTGATAGTCAATGAATATCCAGGAAGTTTCAGGGAGACGGGTTTAAGAAGAAGACGGATATTCAGTTTTTATAAACAAGATACACATGAGAGTTTTGATTTCTTCTCCAATAGTCTATAACTGATCAGTTGGTGCTTTATAATAAATTACTCCGTAGCGAAGGCCTTCTTCCGTTCAATAGTAGTTTCCCGCCTCATTCATTTCCTGAAATTTTGTTTATGTTTAGTGCAGTTGCACCATTTTAGCCCAAGTTTACACAGTTTTCTTTCACCAGACTGTTCTGTCCACTGTTTCTGCTCAAATTAATCTCTCGGAACGTCCCATTTGATGCTTTCTCCGTACAAATTAAAGATTTGAAATGTTCATCAAGCTCTATGGTCCACCAATGCTTACGAACCTTCGGACTTCATCACGAATGATGTCTGCTTTAACTCAAGCCTAATGTCACTGAATTATTCATTCTTCCTTCACCACTTCGTCATTCTTGTCAGCAAATAAGAAAATGATTCACGAATCCTCAATTCATAAGTGAGATGACTAACTCAGTACTGCTTTTCTAATTTTTAAGGCCTTCTTATCAAGAATGTTGGGATTTGTCATGGCCTAGAAACTGCTGTCAAGCCTTAAACTTTGAGTACCCCGTTATTAATTAAAAAACTTGCTACGCGCAGCTCTGTTCGCCTTACTGTTGAACCTCTGTTCTCCCAATTTGGATTCGCTCATTTGGCGCAATGACCTCATGACAGAGTCTCCATCCCTTGCCCTGTGACAGGAATTCACTTCCTGGACTGATAGTTTACTACGCTGACACGAACTAGCTGTAGGCATCAAAAGCAACCTACGGAATGCCTATGCCGGCGTATTTCAATGTTCGATCCTTTTTCCTTCCCCTTTCTCAACACCTTTCTTTTTTTACACGCATTCCTGATTGATGCAATTCTCTATTACCCAATTTCCTATTTTCTTCACAACGGGTATTAGTTAGACAGTTTCCCCAAGCTCGCATCACCAATTACATCTACCTGAATACTGATACTGTCCATGCTATAGAGTAAGAATCTGTGAGCGAAACCACCTGAACTATCTTTATCCGTGTTCATAAAAACACGGATCATACTCATACCCTCATAGGACAAAGTCGATATTTCTGATTCTCAATATGCGTGCCTTGGATCTGCCGTTTTACGGCAAACTCAATCATATGAAACTAATGGTCTGGAGAACCTCCAAAAAAGACTGGTTTGTTCCTCGTTCACGGAAAATTCTTCAACTTTGGTCACTTTCCCGTACCTTTCAGAACCCAGATTCTTGTGGAGCTTGAACACTGTTTGGGTGTCCGGGATGATGTCTTGACCCTGTTTGCGCTAATTGATCGACTAGCGAAGAACAGTGTCCAACTCACTGGAGACTTGTCAACGACCGATAATCTCTCGCACATCATAGATATATGACCAGCGCTTCGTACCTTTCTACCATTATATCAAGACTGGCCTTCTCCATTGCTGCCTCAATTCCTCGTTGGTTTCATTGATTCAGTCGTCTTTGAGAAATCAGCCCTTGTGGACAACTAACTGGTCATTATATTCGTTCTACTCTTTTCCAGGGTTCCCGAACCATAAAGCCGCGTTCTAATTTCCACCTCTTTATCCGCCTTCAAAATCTCTTATTCCAGATTACAAACTTGACAGAATTTGACTCGTAGTTTCTTAATTAGTTTTGTCTTTGGTCTTTGCCCTTTCTCAATACAAGGGATCACTTGGCGCGGGTGGGGATCGTGGTTTTCAGTGTAACAAAAGACACCCTCAAATGTACAAATAACAAAACCAGACAGAAAAATCTATCTACTTAAGTAGATGGAAGTACTATATTGACAAATAAATAACTCTCCTGCTTTGTTCGAAGAGAGAGGTTCGTGTTGTCCATAGGACGTTTACTGAACCCATACCCGGGAGCCAAACTGGTCGTGTGCGGACGTATCTCATTAATCTCAATCTCCATTTCAGTGAGTTCAGAACAGTTCACTGCGCACAGAGAAGCCGTAGGCTCTGTCGTCTGCCATAAACATATGAATTTCCTGAGTATGCCCTGAAACTGCTATATCTGCACCATCTTGACTGTTTGAAGGTTCCCAATAAGGTAATTGAGACATAGTGACCACTCAGATTTGCGGTACAAATATACATCATAAAGCATCCAGAAAGAATTTTGTATTGGGATGGAACATATGCTCTTTACAGGGCAATTCTTCTGTTCCAGAACTACGTTATGGCGGGAGATGTTCAGTTCAACCAAACCGATTCTCCAGGAGCTATTGGATGGGGCCTTTGCGCAACTTAACTCCCAGAACAGTCTATCTGCGTGATATTTTGCCGCATAGGCATGGGTAACCTTTTGTGAAAACACCGTAGCCCAGTATGAAATGAGCCTTTTGTGTGACCGGGCGTGCACATTGGGTCGTGTACAAAGAAGCATTCAGGACGAGATAGGGCTTTGATAGTACAACTGGAAACAACCGTGCCGGACAGACATATCGACAGAAATAGGCATCGCAGTACAAAGTATCTTCGAACGTGAACTAATAAACCGATTATTGCTTCACCTAGCAGTGGACAGCGGATTGAAACAACAGCGAATGGTTCATAAGCAAACAGAACAAATATCGTGGTACACAAAGGCTCAAGTCAAGGACGAATGTTTCGTTTGCGTGAAACCGAATCAGTTTCGCATTTCTTTTCAGGGGCAGCGTCACAGTGATGCTTTGATTGTTGTTTCACTTCCAGGGGTCTCATACGGTCGCCAGCTGCGGATACAGTCCGAGAGCATCTGATCTCAGCAGTTGCCGGGACACTGACTGTTGGAGCCTTCACATTCCGACGTTGAATCGTCTTCCAGGCCAGTTCGACCGCAAGTGCAATAATGCTCAAACAAATAAATAGTATCAAGATTATCAAGGCTCCGAGTGAATTACGCAAATTGATTTGTCTGTATTCTGCCTCCCGGTTGGTGCATTTCTCCACGGTAAACCACCATTTTTTTCTCAAGCGATCGATGACTCCATGTTCCTTCAGTCTAGACAGACTAAGAGCAGAACAAATGATAAATCAATAATCTAGTTGAACAAATCACATGAGTACCCACTGAAGTAAAAGCACACAACTTTGTAGAATGAGGGGGCGCGCATTATATCAACCATGGTTGTGTTTAAAAGATCCTGGGGTGTACTTACTGAGACTTTGAAATGCAAAGAACGTGACAGACGTTTTGACAAATACACTCATTTATGGTTCTGATGGGAAGCTCGCCAGGAACCCAACTGAATCTCTCGTTTTGTGGTGCAGCGTATTACGTCCATCGCAATGTCTCGAATATCGTGCCAACTGAAACATGAGGCAGCATATTCAGTTGCTTAAAAACATTATAAACGAGATATTCAGCTGGGTTTTAGGTGAGTCTCTCGCAAAATCAAATTTGTATGCAAGTGTGTGTATTTGTCGAAATCTGTCCAACTTACGTTCAAGGTGAACATAATCTTGACGGAAACTAGGGGACTGCGTCTACCTGATGAATGCGAAAAAGAGCGAAGCCCTTCGTGGGCAGTCGAAGAATTTTCTAAAGATCTTCAACAGGAATAAAACAATTGATCGTTTGCTTTGTATCACGTACCACACTCATCTACACTAGGAGAGCTCAAGTGACCTGGTTTGTACCGTTTTTTCCCGAAATCCCTTTCTGCTACTTTGAAGTGGTCCGGTTCCACACCAAAATTCCACAGTCGAAAACCTGCCATCATTTTTGAAATTATTTTTCAGTGATGTTTCTTCGAGTATTACCATGAAACAGTTTGGATCACTTCATCCTTCAAACCGTAAGCCGTATATTAGTAAAGTTGATTACCACATGTATCCATCCCCTCTTGTGGTGGATCATTGGCTAACGACGAAAACCCTCCCCACCGTGTGTTTGCGGTTTCGAAGGGAATCGTGGCCAAATAGTCATTTGCAAAGGCTAACTGGGGACCCAGACTCAATCCAGCTGAACCTGTCGTGCACGATATTCATTTACCGAATCTGCTGGGCAACGGATGGGTAACTGGTGAGCTCTAAAACGGGCAAAACCGGCAGCCTGCTGTCCAGCAGTTCTCAGCAAAATTATGAGTAGTATCATATTAAAAAGACAAGAAGTTTTTCCACCAAACTACATTTAATGTATCCCAAAAAAGTCCGGCTACCTGGCTGTCCAGCACACCAGATTGACCTCAATCTAACTTGAGGAGAATTAGGTGCCGTCCACCTGATCCATGAGACTACTTAGCCCCACGATACTGCGCCAACTGAAGGTAATCGTCGGTTCGGAGAAGAAGAGTCATCTTCTCGGTATAACACACTCTCATGCCTTTGCGGGAAACTCTTTGACAGTCTACCGCTGCTTTCATACTTCCCAGGAAATATCAGATTCATCCCAAAAGAGAGAGTGAGCTGGGATTCAGCTGACTCTCCCCGTCAGTACTGGCTTAGTTTGCAAACGATTTCATTCACCCAGAGCCATCTTTGTTTGAAACAACTTCTCAAACCAGGTGAAGGGACTAAAGATATGCTACTTTGCTTCGGTTTCCACTTACTGTATGTCTGTTAGACCGATGCCTGTGTGATGCTTCTACGTTTACTCTAGCTACACTGAGCCAATCGTGAAGCAAGTGTTTCGGGCACATTAACAGGACTATTCTGGTTATTTGTTCAAATCTTGAGACTCAGTCTGTGACCTCATGATATTCAGGGATAAAGTGCAATTCAGTCAGTTCTTTACTTCTCTCCTGATGAGCTTCCGTTCATCCTGATCACCATTCCAGAAGGCTTTTATATTCACAAGAAGGCCCTGCACACCAAACTTACTATTTCGACAATGCATCGACGAAGTTCTGTTCAGGCAACGTAGCGAAACCCGAATGTCCGTGAAACACAGTCTTGGATGCGAAAGCAAGTTTGTCGCAGTGCTTAAGCGCTGCGTAGCTCAATGGGGTCCTTCGGCCCACGAGTGCATGCTCGGGGTTATGCAACAAGAATTCGATTGCTGCGGAGAAGTTGTCGAATATCAGGTTACTCGCCACCGCTTTGCTGTAGATTTTTGCGTATTGTTGAAGGCCACCGGTATCCTATACAAAACACGAGGAAGAGTGTGAACAATTAATCAGCTGGTCTATAGACTAGTCCTAACGATGAACCATTGAGATGTGTCCCACCCAATCTTAAGAAGTACATGAAATCAGAACCCTTTAATCGACTAAACATCTCATGTGTTAGTCTAGGGGGCGTTATCGGCCACCTACTCGCCACCGCTTTGCTGTAGATTTTTGCGTATTGTTGAAGGCCACCGGTATCCTATACAAAACACGAGGAAGAGTGTGAACAATTAATCAGCTGGTCTATAGACTAGTCCTAACAATGAACCATTGAGATGTGTCCCACCCAATCTTAAGAAGTACATGAAATCAGAACCCTTTAATCGACTAAACATCTCATGTGTTAGTCTAGGGGGCGTTGATCGGCCACCGATAAGAATGATGCCGCTGGAAATTCGCTGAGGATATAAAACACCAAACTGAACGGTTTAAAAGTTCTATCGAGTTGTTTGGTATTGGTATGACGGAAAACGTACTACTTTCTTTCTTTTTTTCTCGATAGTCAAAACTCCTTGTTTTTACTGGTGTTCAACCTTCAATAGAAGTAAGTATTATCCAGATGGATGAAACGGTTATGAATGCTGTATAAGCGTATTTGGACCTGGTGAGTTTCGAAGCGTGGTGTTTCACTGCCAACCCAGACGAGCAAAGTACAGGCAGTCGACTGAAACGTAATCTCAGAACTACATGAAATTTATTCACGAGTTTACGGTGAGCAATCCCCAACGAGTTCATTGCAGAGTGTGGGATAGTCCCGTATATCTTAATCAACATCCAATCAGCTGAACGGTTTCATGATCAGATTCTCCAGCTTGCTGAGTGGAACCGTTTAGACTTCCTTCTCAGAGAATAGAAAACCCTAGTGATTGTTCGGGTAACCAACTTACGAGTTCAACCAGCTGGTAGACATAATGAAAAACATTCTCTGGTGATGTGAATTACCAAAAGTTGTACGGATTTATTCAGTTTTGAGCTGAAGATGTGGTGAACTGATGTCTGGCACATGCAACATATTTGGAGGTCAGACAATGTATTTAAGTGATAGAAGGAGTATGGGACGATCACTCAAAAACAAAGAAAACTTTACTGATTATCTTCGAGACGAAGCCTCGAGACAGTCCGTTTTCACCAAGTTATCCTGAAGAATATGAATATGCGACTGACTCTGTTAGTTCAGCAGTTCAACAGTCATGTGGTATAGATGAGGAGTTCTTTCCAGCCTAAACGTAGCGTACGGTTCACAGTCACAAAGAACGACCATGTCTGCTCAATTTTATATGGGCTTCAGTGAGCTGATGATGGTTATGAAACTTGGTTCGTTAAGGGTATGGTCTTTCAGGTTATTACAGCTCGAACCCCTGAAGTATGTTCACCAGGAAGACTCGGTGACAAGGGCGGATCCTACGCAAGAAAGATGAAAACTGGTACGTTTAAAGAGCCAGGTGAAATAAGCGATCACATCTGGAAGCTTGCGTTAAAATGGTTGAGCATTTGCTGCACTATTCTCCGCTCTTGGGACTAAGGGGGATGAATGAAGTTTCCTGCCCTTGAATCTGTGTCATGCACTACATAGTAAATTGCCAAAATGGGAAGTAATTCAATCTGGATGATCCAACCTCACTCTGGTAGAGCACTAAAAAACCGGGACATTTTTGCAACTAAAGGAGCTTTCGAACAAGGAGTTTATGGGGTTGGCAACTTTCTGATTATAAAAATTAGTCTGTGGAATCAGTGCTAAATATTCGGGCGCTGCTCACTTGCACGCCTTACAACCTCACACTGTCGATATAACAAATAACAAGATAGCGGTACCTCGACACATTTGGTGTGCCTCATAAACACAAGGTTGTGTTTAGACCATCTAGGAATTCGCCCTTTCGTCTGAATGAAAGTTTTTGGGGCATCATTAGAGAACGTGTTCTTCCTACAGGAAACCTAGTGAACAAGTGAACGACCAGACGAAAAGTGTTCTTGAGTGCTCTATATGTTCTCACTGTGTTTTGCAGTCTAATGTCAGCTAAGATTGGCTTTATTAGAGTTTCATACCAAAAGAAGCCATCCGTTTTATCAATCATCTGGATGAGTTCTTCTAATCGGAACACTATACAATTAACGCGGTATCTCATCAGCGGTATAGTCTACAATACAAATTTGAGGGTTCAACACCGAAAGTAGTATCGTGCAGCATATTTTTTCTATGTTCTACCGCTCTTTGTGGGGATGCTTTACATCGGGTTTAACCACATTCCATTGACAGGATGTCTTTGCATTGAGCAATCACTGAGGGAGATACTTGGCTCGGAAAGTTGCCATTCTTGCTTCTGACAAATGGTAATACAATTGAATTGTAACAGCCGTTGGGTTACTGTTTCATATAAGACATAGGTTTTGTCCGCTGTGAATAAACCAACGCGCCTTTGCCTGACCTATTTTCATGTGCATTACAATACGGAAAGTAGGCAACTGGTCTCTCTCGGGGATGGTCTCCATTTAAAATGCTCGTACTCCACGGAATGGCTGATGGAAGACACTGCTATGGTCCTTCCATGGGAGACAAACCTTCTTCGAATGGATCCCATTTTGATGGAGTGGCCGCATTCAGATACCGTCGGCAAGTGTCTTCCCCTGGGTTTTAGAAAATGCTTCGACCGAGTGAATGTAATGATACGTTAAACTATATTGCTTGATTCTTCTTTATTCTCCCCTCATTTACCAGCCTTCTTTCCAACTAAGTGCAAATTTACTAAATTCAGCTTTTATTTATCTTGAATTCAGCCTGTTGGGGTGTGTTCAAGGAAGTGAGTTTGCATGAGTCTACGCATAGCGACCCGTTGTGTACAAATATTTACAAACCAGGCACAGTTAGACATGTTTTGTGCACGGTACCTATACTTTTGTCTTCCCAGTGTAGATATGCTTTCGCATAGAATTTGCTGTTGTGTTCATTTTGAAGTTATCGCTCACAAGACTTGAAATACAACTCTGTTTCTCACTCTTCTATTAGCTCCCATACGTGTCTCGTTCGCTTCAGCTCATTTCATCGCATTACAGGCTATCAAGTGAATTTAGCGACCACAATCTATCACAATCATAACAATAATACGACGTAAGGTGTGCTGTTGATTTGAGCCTGTGGTTCTAAGTAATCTTACTGACCATTATTTAGGGTCGATTGCACTTACAATTTGTCAGTTTGTAGGAATATTCCCAGAACCTACCTCTTAGACTGTTTAACCACCCACGGAATCGACATGTAAAACTGATCTCCGAAAAAATAGACGTACGAACGTTATCTGTGTTTCACATCACCAGGCGGGGCAATGAGACAGTGGTGATGCAAGACGCCACTGATCTAGATTTACCAGTCAAGTGTTATACTAAACATTAACGGTCTTATCACTGCATGTCCGCACAGAAATACACTTTATTGAAATTTTTTTGATTTTTTCGAGGGGTTTGAGTTTCTCGAACATGTTGTTCGCCACAAAAGACTTAGTAACTTGGGTGCCGATGTAAATTCCCTGAATATCCGTAAGATTCACCTGACCCTTCCTACCTGTCTCATCAATATGATTTGTATGGGGTCTACCCCTGTACTCTCTCATCAATAATACTGTATGGGGATAGTCTGTCAATGAATCCCTTGACTACCTGTCATTCAATCCTACTGAGCCACGCTACTTTGGATTTACGAGCAGTTTTGACAGTACCTCAAAGAAACAGTTGCTATGGTCACCTGAAAAAAAGCATAGGTTGAAGTTCCTCTGACCAGAATCGGCTTGATCCAATCTTGAGCTGCAAGCTCTTCGAAGGTGTTCAATGGGAGCATGAAGTTATTGCGGGTCAGGTGCGCGGTCATATCCGCTTCCCAAAATGCATGGGCCAATAGAACCAGAAGCCAGAATGACATCAAGATGATTCGGGCTGAACTCGCCAAAGGGTAAGTGTGTTGTCCTGTATAGAGGAAAAGAATAGAGGTTGTGAATGGTCATCGTTATTAATGGACTGCAGTTCTGCTTATTCTGATATTACCGACCCAATCTTGTGGGCACATAACCACTGTTTAGTTTTAGCATTTCCGCACAAAGCACTAGTCACTATGGTCAGATAACTGCAGATTTTATAGGTTGATACTGTGAGAATACATGTGGTAGCCCTAAACATTACATATATACTGCACTTTTGTGCGCTAGTACAATTCTCAGTTTGCCGTACTATCTTAACAATCCCATGGGTCTGCATTTCCACAGTTCTAATTATCGATTGTGGATGGGAGGTTTTTTGACGCTGGCGATAATCTATCAATCGATCCACTGGATCACTTTGACGCGAACAGTCCAAATTCACTGGCTAATGAACACAGTGATCCGGTGATTCGATCTTGTTCCTGTTATTTGAGTTCAGGCAAGGTGCAAGCTGCTTTCTGTTTGAGTATCCCATTGAAGGATCTCCGGCCGTCAATATCTCTTAGGTGAAATTTACCGATCGATCAGTTGAGCAGAACACATCTAAGTAGTCCTATTCATGGTCACTCGAAAAAAGTTGCTCGTTCATCAAACTTTTGATAATTTTACGGAAAATTTTATATAGGCCGAACAAGGACCACCATCTGCACTGTTAAGTTAGCGGACACGTCCATATTTCTGCGCACACGTTGAAGCACCCATCTACCTGGACAACAGGGCTAGCAAGCATACAGCCTTGAGACCCCATCGACAGTACATAGAGGTGGGCATAGCGAATGTGTAACTGAACCGCGGCGCCTGCACTGCACGTGATAGCTTGTGAAAACCGGACTTGATTTGCTAAACTAAAGAAAGTGACTGGAAACTCCTGAAATTACTACGAGTGTAACGGTGATACTACTGATGAGGGAGGCATGCGGGTAGTATGTTTTCTCAAGAATCCGCTTTGCGACTCTTGAGAAGTGAGATCTATTACGGAATTTGTGGAGTCGCTTTGTAGCACTAGATTTGATTTGAGCGGCAGTCAATGAATATTCAGAAAAGTTCAAGAAGACACGTTTAATGAAAGGATGGATGTTCAGTTTTTGTAGATGCATATGAAGGCCTTCTTCCTTTCACCAGTACCTCATACTTTTAGTTGGTTAAATCTAAGTTGTTAGGCAGTTGCTCTCTGTAGATTATACGTGGCTGTTTTCCAACGCTGTTGGATTTTTCATGAAAAGTGCAGCTCATGGTTTGAAGTAGTCGAAAAACTACCTTCTGTACTGATAGGGTCCCTGTTTTTCATCATGCATGGCATAGAAGAAACACACTGACCCTCGGTATTAGAATGACTTCGATAAAATACAACGAACACTTTGATAAGTGCTGGAGAAATATTGATTTTGACAGTACATCAGAACAGACCAAGAACGCCGGAGAGATTGAAGGAAGATGTTGGCAACAAATGTCACCGGTGAATGAGAGCGTGTGTGAGGCCAATCGAACCGGGTGGGTGACTCCAGGTAAGAAAAAGTATTTGGTGGGCATTTTCAACGAGCCTCTCATTGATGTTATTTGGTTTTGTGTTTGTGACATTCCACAGTACAAAATTGTTTCGTCCTCTTTCGAGCAGTCGCTGCAAGTTCACATAGCTACAGTTTTTGTCAGACCCTCATGTGTGGTTGGATAAAGGCTGTAAGATATAATTTGCAGCCTCTGGTTGTCGCCTTTTTCAGGGCTAACTTTTAGAACTATGGTTTTCAAGTGGAGAGATTCTCTCCGGTGGAAACATTACAGGAGAAATCATGGCTCCAAAAGTCTACAGTATCTTTCTGTGAAAGGAAGCCGAATATGAAGCATCAGTTTTCTCCAGAATTTCCGTTTTTCGGGCTTTTTTGCAACACGGACCACACCGTATCCGGAATAAGAGTAAGGATTTTGGTGAATGGCTTGTAACCTACAACGATGAATTACGTACCAAGTTCTAGTAAACAAAACCATTAAACTCTCATCCACCCATCCATCACGCATTATACGGTGAGCAATTCACGCAGGCGCTTTCGCGTAATGCAGACAAGTAAAGACAATGCACTAAAGATGAACAGATAGATCAATGCCTTACTAAATATTCTGATTTGCCCACCAAGTTTGTTTTAACGGAAGACTCGAGTGAATCCAGCAGAATGTCTCGTTCATGATGGTATCCTTCAACTACACACAGGCCGCCAGATTGTGTAGTTGGTACCACCTTCGGGATATCGCTATACATTGTCTAGACGTAACACACTACTCTTAACTTTAAGTCTACAAAGTGCATGGCGATATGTTGAATGTCGTACCAACTGAAACATTGGGTGGCCTTGTGCAGCACATCTGCTGAAAAAAATCTTGGTAAATGAGTGGCCCAGCTTAATTTAGTTGGGTCTCCTTTTAAAACCGATTTGGTGTGCGAATGAGCGTATTTGTCGTTTTTTATCCAATTTGGAATTGGATAGACAGTGAAGCAAACGGAAGCTCAAAGACTGTGCCCGACGGATGAGGTCCAAGAGGGTCGACACCGGTCGTGGACCATCGATGAGTTTTCAGAGACCTTATGAGTCGTGTGTTACGTTTAGATCTCGGTTTCATTCATGAAAGAGTCCACGTTTGAGTACGTAAAGACGCGGCAAGGTTACTCGACTTTTATTGCTTTTCGGCGAGGACCGTGAACAGGTAGGAAACCTATACAAGACGCGGTTGTGCTTTCCATTGGAGAAGTATATTGGTTTTTGAAGAGTTGTTCGGGTTCCAAACTGTGTTGAGAGTGAACGTTTCCGAAACCTCCTCACCACAACTGTGCTGTGAAAATCAGGAAGATGGGGAAAAAGTGCCTCACACCTTCTACAGGTGTAAGTCGCCTGACGATTGGTACCGACCTAAGCACACAAGCAGGTTGCAGACCCACTGCAAGACTTACTGTTTTCCACGTGGACAGATTGAAGGTAGGATGGACTGGATTAGCAAATCTATGTTATGTTAAAGTGAGAGTTCATCACACTGCTGATCAGCCGCTCGTGGCCAGACGGTCAAGTAAACCACTGGTCGAAATGTCGCGAGTTCGCAATTCTGAGGTTCATGAGATGCGCAGTGCTGATGATTCCCGATGAAACAGTTGTGCACTGCCCCTCGGCTCTTCAGTATTGATTTATTGTACTTAGAGGACAAAATCTAATAGTGAGAATCAATCACACTGCTGATCAGCCACTTTTGGCCAAATGGTTGTGTTCAACCCCTGACCAGTGAGAATCAATCACACTGCTGATCAGCCGCTTTTGGCCAAATGGTTGTGTCCAACCCCTGACTGGGTTCGAAACTCCATGAGTTTCGTTAAATGCGCACTGCTGATGATTCCGAACAAGACTACAACAGCTGTACAGTGTTTTTCGGCTTTTCAGCATAGACTGGCTTCACTAACAGGAAATAAAAAATCTCTCTTGTCAAAACACCGTTCACCTGAAATATGCTTAGAAGTACACTTGATGTGTACTAGGGCTCAGAATTCGGACCTCCACCACAAACAGAACAGTAGTGAAATGGACTTGTTGTAGAAATATGCTTACTTGAATCTAATTACTAAGAGTGAACAATGGAATTCTCGACACTGAGTGTATATATTTGACACGACTGTTTGAGTTTATCTCTTGAGTTATCAATATTCTCGAATGTGGGATCCTTAGTCCATCAGTTGTCTAGAATGTAGGAGGACCTTCCCTGTTTTCTATAGCTTGAGTAGTTAATAACCTCTAAAAGCCTATTCAGATTTGCTTGCGGTTGGGATTCCTAGGTATCATCATCATCATCATTATCATCATCATCATCATCATCGTCATTATCGACAGCGTTCAACATGGATGCTTCGCTGCATTGGCTATAAACACAGATGGGTTAATGCTTTTCTTATTTGCCGTCAGGTATCCAGCGAGCCGTTCCTTGGTTATTTCCGACCATATCTCGTGGTTCAGATCACATTCTGTGTGGCTTGGATTTACCAATAGTTCATGTGACAACCAGCTTCCCCACTAAATTGGTGTCACGATTACCGAGCTTAGCCCTAAACCTCCACGACTGCTTCAAGCTTCCTACTGTTTCGATTTTCTCGACACAGCAGCAATGGTAACAGCAGACTGGTGGACCCCATGATCACCAAAGCAAACAAAGTGACGCTTTAGCAAACATCAGGAAGCATGACCCAATCGCATCCATACTTTTTGTTCGGATATGTAATAGCTAAATTTTAATGCAGTAGTATAATCGGCGGCTGGTTATTCGCAATTTTGCCCCTCGCAAGTGAAGTCAGCCCTACTAAAAAGCCTGACAACACTGTGCTGGGGTTTCGCACTTGTTGCGGATCACCATCACTTTGTTAAGATCACTTGCGCGACCTTCAGAGAGGAAGTGCTCGCACTCCTATGGGAGAGCCCAACTGGCGCGCTGCATCACACCGCGGCGCACACCATTGTTTGGCTGCACAACAACACATTGCGGATGTCATCTCGAATGGTGACGAAACGTTTACAATCAAACGGTTCAACTAGGGGAACAGAGTAACGACGAACCTCACCCACCAGCATTCGCAATAGTAAGGACTTTACTATTGGGTAACACGCAGCTGATCAGGGGTGTGAGTAACTTACACTTAGATATTGTTTAAGCAAGACAGTCATGTCTGGTGTTGAGTCGATACCGCGACGGTCGGCCTGTTAAGCCAAGAGGACTCCTGTTTACCGTGAGCCATACGTAAAGTTCGTTAAACGGAAGCTGAGTTACGCTCAGTCGACTGATTTTGAATTACAAGTTTCGCGGTAATGAGAGTGTACACAAGCCTCAGTGCCCGTCGGGTCAAACTGAAGAGTCACACGGTCTACGAAAGCTCCAGTCTGAAGAAGTTGAAAATCAATTAGGCGGCAAAACGCTGATCAAGCAGGACCGGAGTGCTTTCAGTTGATTCAATTGATTCTCTGGTCAGTAGACCGGACATATTGCTGGAGAGCGCTGATTGGTTGATTAATCTTTGCGTGGGCGGTCATTCAAGCAGTCTAGAAAGGGTGACACATCACACAGGCAATGCTAGCGAGAACGTATCGCGAATGCACACGTACGGAGTCGCAAGTGAAATCTAGGACAGTTGATCGCCTGAATAGCCTACGCTACCTTGTGGGCAAATCGACTTGTGACGTACGCGAAATCAGGGAATACGGACAACTCAGTAAAAGGGGCGAATACGAACTCAACCGCTAGGGGTGAATTTCAGATGGACGCGATTGAATATTATATCACATCTTTTGAGACACTATTTACCGGTCTGGGACGTACTCACCTTGAAACAGTAGGCACGTTAATGAAGACCACATGGTTTCCCTCATCGGAACGGTCGTATTCATTGGGCTGGACTTGGGAGGATGTTCAACAAGTGGACTGAATCGATTGACCGTGTGAGCCAAATAGCCAACTAGCAGCAGGGATCCAGCAAACAGAATCCACACGTGGTACCTGAATGGTTGAAGCATTTGGAACATATACGGATTGGAATCGGGGCGAGCCAACAGAATTCCAAGACTGTCCTCCACAAATTCGCCCACAAATCGCACCACTTGTGATCGGTAATTGTCAATGGTGATGGGTATGCCAATCATATCAACTTTCTTCAAAGCAAAGGAAGGATGAAATTGAATCCTGTGGTGAGTAGCACAAACAATTCAACAACGGTCATCATAAAGAAAGTAGCATATCCATTCCAACAAATGTGAGATCTTGTGGAATTGGTTCTTCTCTAGAAAGCTTCTTATCGATGTGCTGTTTTACACTCATTTGCATACAAATATGTTTCGCACAGCAGACTCACCTGAAACCCAGCTGAATCTCTCGTGCTAGATTTCAGCAACCCTGTAAGTAGTGTGTTACATCTGTACTTCTGTTGGGTGTTTCCTTTGACTTTCAATTTATTCATGCCTTGGAAATTCGACAAAAATGGCTAATAAGTGAAATTTTTGTGCCTTGCGTGCACAGGATTTTGAACTTGCTACTGTTTGGTAGAATAGCCACTTAGTCTGGGATTTCCCCTGTTATTCTAACACACCTTGTGTCATAGTTTGATGGAGGACCCCACCCTCCGATGAACGTAAAGTGAATATTCTAGTATTTCCTTAGGTGCTGCATTTACTGGGCAATTGTTATTTTTCGGTTACCTCTATCCTACGAACTTCGCGCGTCAGTCTTCATCTACATTCTAAATACTGGGTGTATTCATTCATACCGGAGGATTTGGAAGCAAAGGGTTTTCAGAATCAACAAACGTCAGAGATTGGAATTTCTGACATTTTCTTGCCAAGTCAAAATGTGAACTGTCATTTCTGTCTACTGGTCACCAATTCAAGTACATTTAATTGTAGAGGGCAGCTGATGGTACCCCAGTCTTTGCGTGTTTTCGTATCCCCTGCGTGTCACCTAGCAACTTGTCCACACACATCTTGCTATACCCATTATGTTTGTCATGTTTCCTTGCGTTTCCTTTGACAACTGCGTTAACAAATACATACCAAGGCTGACCGGCAGTTTGTGTCGTTCTTCTCTCACAGTCAGTCAGTCAGTTTTGCGGTAGATTGACAGGTAAAACAGAAATTTCACTGTGTCCCTGAGATGTGTATTTCTATGACTGTCTCTAGTCTAGTTAAGTTAGTGCAAGAACATCGTCATACAAGCAATTACAGTTCACATTGTGCTTGTCTGTTTGACTGACCAGTGTGCTCCTGAATGCCCAACCTACCAGCCACCGGAGAGAACCAATATTGACTCAGTCAAGAGTCACGTGTGCCAACAGGCAAGAAAGGTTGACACGGCAAAACAATACGGTGAGTGGTAAGCCCGAAGAAGGTGTGCAACGATGATACTACAAATGGAAAGGCACGCGAGTAGCATGTTTTCCCGTAAATCCACTTTACGTCTCTTGAAAAGTGAAATCTATTACGGAATTTGTGGAGTCGCTTTGTAGCATTTGCTTGGATTTGAGCAACAGTCAATGAATATCCATGAAAGTTCAGGAACAGGCGTTCAAAGAGAAGATGGGTATTCAGTTCTGTAAACAAGATGCATATGAGAATTTCGCTTCCCTGTCCAATAGTTTGTAAATGTTCCTTTGGCACTTTCTAACAAATAACTCCGCAGTGAAGACTTTCTTTCTTTGATTTGGAGTCAGGATGTGAGAATTCAGGTTCGTACAGCGTGCGCTGGTAAAGCAGTGGTAACCGGCTCACCTCGCATCGCAGGTGTCGGAGCTCAAACCTCGGCATGGCCAAGGATAAGCATTGCTGATGAGCTCTGGTAAGAGCGAAAGCCGAGCCCAGGGTTTCCTTCCTTTGGTGTGCACTCACCAGAAAGATTGCTCCAGGACTATTCAAACTAGAGTGAGGTGGTCAATGATATATGGTTTCATCTGAATAGCGTACCATCTGCTGATAATTGGTTTGCGACAGCCGACAGAAGTAAGCAAGTTCTACAACTCTTGATTTTGTTTGCTGAACTGTAGGCAAATGGATCGCCTGCACAGTCAGGCCCGTAGACTTGCTAAAAATGCATCTAACCCTGGAGCGAAGTCCAGTGGTGGGGTATTTTGAGCTTGAGTTAGTCTCTCAGTCAGTCAGCTACAAGCCATATGCCGATCCATAGTGGTTCCAGCTGCTACAGTATCGTTCACCGAGGATAAGGAGCATAAAGGAACGAGATCCCTGAGTCGAAAGCGGTGGCCTAATCGATCCCACGTATGTGATAAAGTCTGGAGTTGGACAGCTGCGTATTGGGGACAAAACAGTGGATATGGAATCCCCATTTTCCTCATGATGGAACCTTATTTATCAAGCGCATTCTTTTCCATTCCGTCCCAGCACTTTCAAACCATGGAATTCCTTTCCATCTCCTGTTTTTCCCTCCTTCTTCGACCATTTTGCCCTTAAACTCACAAGTTAACGGATGGATTACACAGTGAATGTTTATCCAACCTATCTTTTTTCGGTTTTCAGCTTTTTTCTTTAACAGGAAATCTCCAGATTTTTAGATTTCACCCTTTCACTTAATTCCACTGTTCGCTTTAGACGAACCACTCTTGTGCGTGATCTAGGAAAAAAACGGACAAGGCATGTTCAACTGTCCAACACATGAACTCAAAAGTACAAACTTCAAAGGGAAGGCGGAAAAGGAAGATACTTACCTTGTCCAGTAGTTGGCGCACTAGACCATTCCATTGTCCATCGCTCCCTTTGACACCGTATAGTCCGTCTGGAGCAGGGTATAGTTCGTAACTTGACAAAATAAATGTGGGAAACGATCATCAGTCTACAGCAACGTACTGACACACTTTTCACAAGAGCCCACATGCTGTTTGGGTAAGTGTCTTTTAGATTACCGGGTGTGTATGTGAAGGAACTTCGATTTGTGTGGCCTGCCCGTAGATCTTACAAAACCTATTCAGTGGTTTCTTTCATCGGTTTCATATCCTCACCACATTCTTACCACGTTTTCAGAAGGGGAAACGATTCATTCGAAGCGTCGAGTAGATGCATCACATCGTCTAGTGGATTAGTGTTAACACGTTTGTGAGTTCGAACCCCGATATGAATAATTCAATTTTCCATACCAAATACGTCGCAAGAGACGAGTGACGGCTGTCTAGAAGGATTTCCGATTATATGCTTGAAAACTCCCAGCCAGAACAATCTCTAGCCATTTGCTAGATTTCAGCAAGTGGGAAGAAACAGGATGGTGACTCATTCCATAAACTCGCCGAATAACAGCTGTTTATTGCGCTTTACAAAAGCAGTGACGATTTAACGCTACCAGCGCAATATGTGAAAACAACCGGGGTTCCTGACTGGTCTGTAATTTTTAATCCTATAACTTGAACCCTAGTAAACTACTCACAAGGTTGCTGAAAACGCTTCGACAGCCAACGACAGGTTTCACCCTTCTCGGGGCTCATCAGGTGGGCGCAGTCCCCGAGTTTCCGTCAACCTTATGTTTTACTTGAACCCAAATTGGACTGTTTTCGAGGAATACACTCATTTGCAAGTCAATTCGGTTTTCACGACTCAACTGAATCTCTCTTTTATGATATTCTATTCATTCTATTCTATTCTCCTCAAGAAGGGCGAAACCGGTCGTGGGCTGTCGAAGAGTTTTCAGCAACCTTGTGAGTTGTTTCCTTTATGAAAATATATTGCGATATCTTGAATATCGTGCCAAATGAATTATGAGGCGGCGTGTGTGCAGCATAAACGAGTGATTCAATTGAGTCTATCGTGAAAACCAAGTTGATTTGTAAATGAGTGTATCTATCGAAAAGAGCCCCATTTGAGTTCAAGTAGAACATAAGGTTGACGGAAACTCGGGGNTCTCTTTTATGATATTCTATTCATTCTATTCTATTCTCCTCAAGAAGGGCGAAACCGGTCGTGGGCTGTCGAAGAGTTTTCAGCAACCTTGTGAGTTGTTTCCTTTATGAAAATATATTGCGATATCTTGAATATCGTGCCAAATGAATTATGAGGCGGCCTGTGTGCAGCACATTCAGTTGTAGAATATCATAAACGAGTGATTCAGTTGAGTCTCTCGTGAAAACCAAATTGATTTGCAAACGAGTGTACTTCTTGAACCTGGTGCTTTTATCCAGCTTCGTCTCAAGCCTTTGCTTTCTGTAGTCATTTCACTGACCAGTGTGTTTTTGTCTGTCAAATTACCTGTCCGTCATCTTGCCCTCACCTTGATCCCGAGTGTGCCAACAGCCGAAGAAATCAGCGAAGTGGTCGAATTCACTTTATCCTCTTATTATTATGTTACTCATTCGTAATCACTTTGTTGATGATATAAACAACCTGTGTAAGAAGCTAGATGAGACTGGTCAAGATGGCGATGTCGTGGTGTTTTTATTGATCGCTTGCGCTCCTGCTCAGCTAGACAGTGTTTTCAGTGATTTGGCTGTTCTTCAACCCTGTAGACCAGGCCTACCTCTGGTTCACAATAATCGCACAAAGTCGTGACTCGTGAACGTCTGATATTTGTAGTACATGTTAGTCCGATCTACCTAACGAACAACTCTCCAGCTGAATGTGGCTTCGAGAAACGAGAGGGTGTTGAAACTACGTGACACTGACTACTCGTTCGCTCGCCCTTCAAATCAAATTGGTTCGCTTTTTTTTAAAAAAAAAACAGCGTAACAAGTCCCAGTGGTTTTAATGATAAGCCGAGAGGACGGTCTTAATGACGCTGCAAAGTTTGGCCGCTTGTTGCTAGGGCGCGTGACTTTTTCGTAGTTGATAACTTAGTGCCTCCGTACTTATGTTCCCAAGCTATTTGCAGGGACTTTGTTAGATATACACACTCTATGTTTGCACATTTATAAACTAACTGGGGATACATACCTAAAGTTGTATTTTTCTCTGAGTATGTCCAGAAGATCAATTGACATTCCGGTTGCATTCACCAAAGTGCCGTTGGATAACAGCTGGCCTCCGATTACCATTGGTTCCTCCTGGAAACATCGAGAGGAGAAGTAAATCTTCTTGATGAGTATCGTCAACTGCTTTAGGCTGAAGGGTTAAAACAAGTTCCCTTGTTTAACTGGGTGACGTAGCTAATGAAAACTGCGGACACTGCGTCTCTCGAGTTAACTGCGGAGTGTATTCCTCACATCAGTTACCATAGAATATAAACTGTGAAGCAACCATTCTTAACTGTGAACACTTCTCCCGGGTCATCTACGGAGAGAATTGGGCGTCACGGGACTTTTTGGTGTCTCTCAATCAATCCCCATCTTCAGGAGGCTGCTGTAATTCTGTACTTTTAGGGGAAGAGCTTAACTCGGTGGCGTTTTAAGTCAGTCATAGTTTGAGACAAAAATTCCCCTTGCGAATGTGGATGGGCCAAAATTGTTCTTTCCCTCAGGTATCCTCTTTTTGTAGTGACTGCTATAAATCGTGGCTGACTAACAGCGCCATTGTAGCTTTTTCTTCCAACTGTCTTTAGTAGGTCCCCTCTTTGAATTATGTCTATTCTTTTGCTTTGGGAACTGCAGGGGTACCAACCAGACATGTACAATCCCGTCATCATATTCTGGTGACAACGCTCCCTACCAATTCTTTCTGAATTGTAATAATTTTATGCAAGTCTTTCCCCAAATGAGATATATACCGAGAAATTGCGCACAAAATTGCTTTAAAAATACCTCTGAGCAACAGTGTTTCAGATCAGCTACATCTTGTTACGACATCCCTCTCCGAAGAAGTGTACCAGTTTATCACCAAGAGAACTGGTTTACACGTGACTTTATAACGAATGTTTTGTTAAACTCTGAGAGCGGCCAAGTTTTAAACCAGGCTTGGAAATATCGTCACGTTTGTAGGGCATGACAAGCTATCACCTCTATCGTCACCAAGGTCATCATCATCATCAGTGTCATTATCACCGCCTCCAAACAAGGACCTATTGTGCTTTCATACGAAAAATGACCGGAAGAAAAAACGGTACATTTTACCCTCAGAACTCCAAGGCGCAGTAGTCTATTGTCGAAGTTGGCGAATCGATTGGCAAACAGACCAGAAAACATTGTGTGCTTGGACAAATAATCTCCAAACCGGGTCAGTCCATATCCTCCTCCTTGGGGGAAATATGCAGTGGCCCGAAAAGTTGGCTTCGCGTTCGCCGAAGCATCGAGCGAGTAAAACGTGAGGTCCGTATATTCGTGAAATAACGAGAGCTGCGTGAGGTGCGAAAAAACCTATTCAGTTCAGAGTATTGCATGGGTTCGCGAGTACAGACACTTTCATCATTTGTCAAGTACGGATAAAAATTAATGTACGCGTACTATGTATGTATAACATATGCATTCACGAGCCCTTCGCTCACCAGCCTTCACCCACACACCCTCTCTACTCACCTAAACGTATTAATGTTCACAAGTCACTTTGTGAAGTTCTCCTGTGTGTCTGGTAGAAAATCCAGTACAAGACCCAGGACTGAATCATTTTCGGGTTACCGAAATCTAGTCCAGGGCAATCAGAGATATGACCAACAGATCTTTCGGTCGAAAGCAGACAGTCTGAGCAAGTCCCCCAGCAATATCTGTGATACACAAGGAAGAAGCAACTTCTCGGTCATACAGCTTAGTATGGCCTACAAAATTCATTTCCTTTTTGACGTAAAATACCACCCCTTTCGTCATAACAGCAACTCACTTTCCCCGCGCTTCCTCAACGCTGATAACCGTGTTCAGCTAACCCAAGAATAGCTCCAACGAACCATCTACTTCCAGATGATGAGCCTCGACATGGTTAGCATATTTTCCCCGCGCTTCCTCAACGCTGATAACCATGTTCAGCTAATCCAAGAATAGCTTCAACGGACCATCTGCTTCCAGATGATGAGCATCAACATGGTTACCATACTCTATACTACTCAGTTCACCCATATGTCTATTGACATTGGCACAGCATATCGGTAGAGCTTGAATCGGTGAATGTCACCGGGTGTAAGTATCAAATTCACTATCAACTATACATACTCACTGACCGCCAGATATAAGAAAAACTATGGACAGACGTACCGTACTAAAGTGCATATGGAAGTCGTTTCCCGTGGGATAAATAAGCGTCGAGTTGCAAGTGTATGACACCGACTCATCGCCTGGACGAAAGTACTGGAAACTATAAATGGCAAACAGCATGGTGATTGTGTGCGCCGCGACTGCCAGACGGTCCTGATCGAGAGAGCAGAGAAGCGCGAAGGTTTTAGATGTGCAGTAGAGACACCACAATAAAAAAACAGTTGCCTAGAACGGACCTCTATATATGTTCGAAGTCAAACTAGAACAGGTAACAAATAGTCGACAGGTGCACTGGTGGTCAGTCATGTCGATCAAGCGATGGGCAGATGCTCTATGAGAAATACTCAAGCACCATATTATTCAAAATACAAGATATATATGTACATAACACGTGATCTGGATACGAAATATGGATAGGGTGTAAGCTGACAGGATTCCTTCAGTAACGCTGGAATAAACCCAGGAGAAAGTCACGGGATCCTTCACGGATGTATGTAGTGACTTGCTGACGTCTCGATTAAAAAGTCGGTTCATTCAAGGGACGATGAGGTTGTTTAAGCTTTAGACACTCAGTGAAGTCAAAAGTCAAACTTTCCTCTTACCAAAGAGGGTTCCCATATATCGAATTTTTTAGACTGTTTGCAGACTGGGACAGGTATCTGAAGAGCTTTCAACAACCTTATAGGCGGCTTCCTTCAAGGAAACGCTTTTGTCCAAACGTAACACCCTACTAGTGTAACAGTGGATACTACTAATGGGGTATGCGAGTAGTATGTTTTCTCGTAAATCCGCTTCGCGTCTCTTGAAAAGTGAGATCTATTACGGAATTTGTGAAGCATTTGAGAAACAGACAATGAATATCCAGGAAAGTTCAAGAAGGGAGAAGATGGATGTCCAGTTTTTGTAAATAAGATGCAAATGAGAGTTTTGCTTCCTTGTCCAATGGTATTTAACCGGTCAGTTGGCGTTTCCTAATAAATAACTCCGCACGAAAGTCTTCTTCTTTTCACTAGTAGGATTGCTGAAAACGTTTTGAGAGCTAATTATGCACGTGAGATTAGACTGGATTCAAGTAAGTCTACCATCAAAACCTAATTCGTTTGCAAACATTCAGTTGCTCCAAATCCACACCGTGGGAAGGCACACAACATGTTTTTCCCAAAGAATGTGCTGCGTCTTGGAGTTGAGTTAACCAGACAGACAAACTCAATAAGCTGGGTGACTTTCAATTGTAAGGATAGGAAACGGTCATATTCTGCCTCATCCTTACGCAAGCAGGCCTACCTAATCGGAAACGAATCACATTCCAGGCTGGTTTTTAAATCTCCACTAAGCTTGTGGTTTACATGCGGTCGTTCTTCCAACTGAGGTATTAAGCTATTTAGAGTATTTGCGATCAGTTACTCGAACCATTGAATTTCACGCCAATCGCATCCATCGAAACACTAATCAATAGAGCTGCTTGACCAAGTTGATATTCACTCATATGTTGCGAGGCACATGTTCTATACTTATTTAAATGATACAGAAGTGGAACAATTGATGTCGTACCTCGTTTTGGCAGCAGTACTGTACTCTCATAAGCGATACTCATCAGCTACAGTGTGTTCAGTATGGGTTTACCTGATCCAGCCACCTGAACTTAGTTTGGAATGATCGATAAAAACTCCTAGAGCACGGGCACTTTGGTTGGGTTGGTTGTGCACAACCACTAACCCACCGCTACGCACAACTATGCACTGATGATATCACCTCGATTGGTGATGAAACGTTTGCAACCAAATTGTCCAGCTCAGCGAACAAGCCAACGACTATCTTCTCTACCTGAGCTACCGACATTTTCCTGGAACACTGCTGTTTAATTTACTTCGCCCCGCAAGCCTCTCTACGAGCTCCCCGGTCTTGATTTCAATCCTATTAGTGCTGAAAAAAGCTTGTTCTTGATGTAACCAGGGTGACGTTCGTCTATCACACCTGGTGGATCAGCACTGCAAGACATACTCAGAAAATCTCGAGGAAATATTAGGAGAAAAGTGCAACGGACATCCTACTTTTATAGACGAGGCTTCGAAAGTGCTGAAGAGCCAGCAATAACAACTCACAGTGGTCAGGCAAATCAACCAGCCGTAAAGCTGCACGGTTAGCAGAAAACCGGTTCATGTACACCAGAGTAGAAGAACGTATAGCTGATTGGTTACACATAAACCTGGGGCTTGACAGACTGCATAGTTGCCACTGTGCTCACAGTTCCATATGCATCAAAGCGAATAATGAAACTGCGTGATGGTCGAAATGGGACCAATCACAAACTAGGGCTGACAAAAGGTTAGCACTCGGATAACAGAAGGCTCAATGTAGAGGGAACCATCCTCTCAACTAGAATGTTCCTCCACATTCTCGAAATACCAGCCTAAAGGGACAGATCAGATGGATGATCATTGATCTGGTCTGCATCACAACAGCATTGATCTTGTTGGTTTCGCGGCATTATTTAGGCAAGGAAACAAAAGAGCTGCTGGTGCTAATACAAGAATAAATTAAGATGAAATGCTCAAATTGGGTAACTACGTCGCACTGACTTTCAGCTGGAGATAACTTGGTCCTTTGAGAAGAAACTACGCACAAAGCATTACTCACCTAATAATGGTTCTCTCTGGCCAGCGAAGTTGCATGTTGATAGACACAGTTGTGAAAAATGGGTATGTACGATTTGTTCGAACTGTACATTCTTAGCTACTCTGAATACACAGTCGAACTTCATCCCGAAAGTGAAATCAATCTACGTCAACAAACCAAGAATCAATGTACAGTTGTTCATCCTTATTCAGCGAAGTTGCATGTTGATAGACACAGTTGTGAAAAATGGGTATGTACGATTTGTTCGAACTGTACATTCTTAGCTACTCTGAATACACAGTCGAACTTCATCCCGAAAGTGAAATCAATCTACGTCAACAAACCAAGAATCAATGTACAGTTGTTTCATCCTTATTGAGAATCGTCATCTCCACATATCTCAAAAATTTCCCGGGCGATTTGAACCCGCGATATCTCGGCTGCCAGTTGAAGACCAAATCAATGAGGCAGTTCTGCTTGACTCTCATTTAAACAGGATGTAAACGACTACAAACCATACATGGGATTGACAAAACAGCACCTAAAGTGAGACCGGTTCACTACAACCTCCATCGGCCAACATCAGTATGGATCTAAGATGTTACCCTCAAGCCAAGTAACAGAGCTTTTTGCTAAAGGTGAACTCGGCCTTGAACTATCCGACTGGAAACACTTAGTTCTTTCAGTTTAAAACAATCGATTAAACGAACATAGAACGATCCCATAGAGCTACAGAGTCAATCGGGGCGAACATATCTGAACATCCAGTGAAACGTGCAAAGAGCGGAGAACAATGTCGTTTGAAACCTAATAAAGCCTTAAGGTCTTATAGTGACAAATCACAAGTTCCCTGGAGTGAAGCGAGCCTTTTTCGACTGGTTTTCTGGAACGAAAAATCAGACCTGATATACGTGGTTCCAGATGGTGATTTCAGAACGTTTGTTATCGTCAAAGGTTTACGTGTTCTTTGGTCGACTTGTGGGTCCAATCTCTTTTGTACAACGAGTCAGATTTTTAAAATCATTGGTCACAAGTTTTTTTTGTATACCAGTGGGGTCTGACGCCAAAATACGCCAAGTCTCATACTAGACCACCGTGGAAAACGAGGATGATTTGACTATCAGACAAGAGTATGACCTGTGTGGACGTAAGGTTGACGACTTTTCGACAACGCATGACCGGTTTCGTCCTTCTTGGGGCTCATCAGGTAGGCGAAGCCACCGAGTTTCCGTCAACCTTACGCTCTTTTTGAAATCAAATTGCACGAAATTAGCGAATATAGACTCATTTGCAAACTAATTTGGTTTTGCGAGAGACTCACCTGGAATCCAGCTGAATCTCTCGTTTATGATGTTTCCAAGCAACTGAATGTGCTGCCTCATGTTTAAATTGGCAAGATATTCGATATATCGTGATGCATGTACATACGTAATGCATTACTCATAAGGTTGCTGAAAATTCTTCGACAGCCGACGATGGGTTTCGCCTTACTTGGGGCTCAATAGTTAGGGCTCGAATTTACTGACCAAAAGGTCCGTGGTTAGAACCCGACCTCTGCATCTCTATGTTTCCTGTCCAGGCTTGGGCACCCTGACATTATCCCAGCCCACATGCCACCCTCTGGTGGCATGGCAGATGGGCACCGAAAGAGTGCTATAGGTGAACGACTTCAAACGACTCTTGGGGCTCATCAGGTAGGCTAAGTCCCCAAGATTCCTTCTGTACTACTTGAACTCCAGTTGCACAGAATACTACCATAAACAAACGATTAACTTGAGTCTTCCGTGAGCATCAAACTGACATGCAAATGAGCGTATTTGATGAGATTATGAACTGTTGATTGAGGTCTCTCTAAACCACCGTACTCCTACTATATCACGAGATTACCATTTTATTCACGCGTATGAACTAACCACGAAATGCTAAGCATACATGGCTAGTGTGTATCACGCAAACGGAAGGTTCTGAATTTAAACTTCAGAAATTTGACAATTTTGGAACCATCTCAAACATCCAATAAAGATATCAAGCTTACTGGCAGGTCTTGATGTTTGCATGCCAGAAAAACTTTCATGTCCCTTTCGATCGTGAATCGATCGCAGTCCTCAACGTTCATTAATGGCCAATAACGTAGAAAGCCAAGGTGCACTGAGTTGCTGTCATACTTCGAGATGGATCGAAGAAGCTGCGACGTCGATATATCTATACGGTCACCTAGAATCCAGAAGTATTGTTTTAACCATTCCTGGCGTCGAAATATCTAAGGCGAGAGAAGGATTCGGTTAAACGTTTTACTGGAAAATATAAAGTACGTACAGTGGGCATGGAAACCGCAAATGATGTTGGGAATTCGCTGAGAGATTGACAAATACTCAGTTCATGAAATTCGCTGCGTCTGAGAACTAAATGATTCTGTATACAGGTGGCGGATACATACCGGGCACACGGGTAAGGCTCTTTGACCCACTGCACAGAATGGACGGAAAACACACTACTGAGAATTAGTCAGCAGAAACCGTTAAAACACAGTCCCTCCAAACCCGCATAGTTTTTGGTCAGGAGTTGTAGTGTGGGCATATCTATCATCGTCATCCTGCTTTCACTCCATATTTCGAACATTTAAACCGAATTTTTGTTCGGTTTCGTAGTAGAATGTACTAAATTTGGCTTCTAAAACAGAACTTGGTCGATTTACATGAGGAGAGACTAGCCTGGAACCTAGCTGAATATCTAGTTTGTGATTTTTTTATGACTTGATTATGCAAAATGCTATTTGGCCCGTCCGAATTTGCGATTCTACACTCGTCACTGAGTCCAGAGGCACATAAATATATGACGTGCAGACAAGGTCAACAATATGTGGATCAGATCTGATCAACTACAGTTACTGCAGAGCTTGTAGGACGCCAAACAGATTACCGGAAGAATTTGAAGTCGCAGGTGGCTCGCCCCGGTCAGCTGGGGATAAAGCCTGATAAGAGCCTGGATGAACATGGGTTTGGCAGAACGGAGAACTTCAAAGAAATTGAGTTCTTCGGGGTTTGACTTATACTCACTTTGTGTTCACTCTTTCTGCATATGCTTGTCAACAAAACACAGTACCAGCATCTGAGTGTCTGGGTGAACACTACGTGGCATTTCCACCCGAACACCAAGTATAAAAATTTTAAAGCAAGAAAAAGCTCTAGAAGAGCAGACAAGAATGGTAGAATGATATAGCTCCTTTCTCCAGACATGGGATTCATGCAGAAACAACTTATTTCCGCGGCAGAACTAGCACAGTGAAGCGATTTCCACCAAAAATGAAAGGATATGAGTTTCAGAGTTGGGGAACAGCTCAATCCAGATGGATATATGTGCTACAGACAATATTTTTTTCAACACCAAGAGGTTTTCAATAAGCGGTACAATGAGTATGGCTCTGAAATAGTCTAGGTGGTAGATATTGCTAGAACGAATTACACATTGCGTACCACTGACTGGTTTCGAGGACTTCCTGCTATGATGTTAACTTCAAGTTGACCAACACGTGAGATTTTGTCACAAAAAGGGTGGCAGGAAGTATTCTTCCAGTATGTCCAGTATTTCAGGATCTTTTGTGATGGCTCAGATTCCAACAAATCGGTTGACGGGTGTGAAATGATGCCCTGTTGGGTGGTGAAAATAACCAACGGGGGAGTAAGCGTAACGGTATCTATGACTGAGTACTCTTCAGGCTACAATTCACATACTGAGTGATGCAACACTGTGCATCATCGAGCTGCTTCGATATCAGACGTAACTTATGATTAGTGATCACTCGGCAAGTGTGTCGGCCATTGGTTCTACGAAACTGGAAGTTGATTGGCGGATTATTACTGGCTAGACACGGACAGGACCCGCATATGCTCTAAAATATAGCTCTGTAAGACTGATGAGATGATAGTCAGACAACTGACCGATCGGAATCGGAATAAGGATTTCTGCCGAGGCGCGTACTTTGAGTTCTTTGCTGAATGCACCACCGCCAAAATCATGGCGAATGACGATAGTGTTTCAAGAGGGAACTAGCTCAACAAAGGTTTTATCCGCGAGACATCAGGTCTAACTTTTTGGCATTTAAAAGAAAATCTTTTACGTTATTTGGCAATGTTCTGTTTGTTTAATTCCGTTTACACCCAGATTTAACTCAAATGATCTAATTCTGTTTATTTACTGCTTGGTGGGTTGATCAATCACTAACATGGTCAACGGAATGGGATCCGGGGCTTCGATCCCCAACATTGTCGCCTCATTCTACGATTTCTGGAGTGCGATTTCTGCTCTTGACTGGCGATAGTGACAAGGCCCCTTAGTGGCTCTCAGAAAACCGGATGGGATCCACATGATTACCTCATGACTATGCAGCGACCGGAATGGCTCAAAAAGCCAGAATACTTCGTAATATTAAGTGGATTATGAACCTTCACGGAGAATAGGCTGAACTGACGCATGCAAAATGGTGAGAGGCGAAATTTTAACTCCAAATTGAAAGTAAATAAGATATAAAAATTTAACTTCATCCTACAATGACTGGGATCGGTGCACATCCCAACTCATTTTTTGATCGTGCTGCTTTTGTGAACTTGTTTTCAACTTCCCAGTGGAATGTTGATGACCCTGCTAGTTGCCCTATTCGGTGCCCCAGGTGACAGTGCGGTTCATCTGTAAAAGTAACTGGGTATCACTAGTAAGCCAGACCAGACAGTCAGTTTGAGAGTGGGGTTTTCTGTGTTACAAGTTTTATCACTGACGTCTTTTTTGCGTCACACTCGTTTTTTAGTTGAAAACAGTCCACTCTAACAGTGTATAAATGTGAAGAAACCCATGGATTAACTGGATCAAGTAACTACTTCGGGGAAAACGAGGTCGGATTTGTCTGAGACAACAAGGAGTTTGGCAGTCCTATCGTTTTGAACTGTAAATGTGTCTACCTGACATCCGATGGTCAACAGAGTTCTTCGAATGAACACAATCACTCTATTCCGAGGGGGAATGTTTTGGGTCTCGGACGTGGCACCCAACGCCCAACGAGCCCTCTTGATGCATACTACTGACGCTAGACCGTATCTAACATGTCATTCCAGCTCACCAACGAATCGATGGAACTGGTGCCGCTGCTCGAAGGCCTGCTCAAACACGAGCATGACGCCACATCTTAGTTGATTACAGAAATGTCCGCCCATTTGGAAACCACTTCACATGCTAGTTACCCTCCACAACCTCCTCACCCAACTTTTCTGGCTTCAGTTCATGATCTCTTACAATGTTTTTACCGTGCAGCACCCAGAATAGAGGTTCACGATGGACACTTCTTTAAACCTATTACCAGCACTCTGCTATTTGGCTAAAAAGAACTAACAGCAAAAGTTCATTAGAGTTATCAGTGAGACTTCAATGAGGATGACCGTAGACAGCAATAATTGCAGGACTATCGAGAACTTACTTGAACCAATTCCGCTTCGATGTGGGGCTCCGAGGTGAGCAGGTAGATGTGGTTAATCAGCGGGTCCGTTTTACCATATTTGGATGCCTTTCCCAGAGTGATCAAAATACTTTCAAAGTCTTGCACACCTGGCCTGTTTGGATAGAGCTGTCCAATGGGGCTTCGGTCGATCTGATACAAATGTGCAGACAAGATCATATTCAGGGAGCCTTGGTTGTCCGACCTTTGTGAAGCGTTTTTCAACAGCACTCGTGCTATATCTGGCTTGAAAGAAAAACGAAAGAAAGGCATGTGTACATGATATATGAAAATTATTACACTCGATATGACGTGTACAGTAATAACAGTCAGTAGCATCATTGCGTTAAGAAATCTGGGCATTTAAGGTGAAGCTTATCCAAGGGTTGAACAATTGCAGTTTCTTTATTCAAATCTGCTGGAGTTGGTTGTGGAACTAGTCGAAATCATGTTCACCTCACTGTCGTTCGACCAGGCCTTACTTTGGTAAGTCCACAGCAAACAGCGGTAACGCTGGAGTCGAGTTTCGCTCTTAGTTGAACTTATCTCCAGTGCGTGCCTTGACTAAACATAGGACATGCGTGAGGTGGTACAACAACTACACCAGTGCAAGCCTGATTTAGTTGAGTTATCAATAGGAAAAAGCGAATGCGTTCACGTTTAAGTGACGTGGTTGTTTTGATTTATGTATTGAAAGGAGCCTTCGCTGCGCTGCGGAGTTAGTTATTGGAAAATCCCAACTGACCAGTTACAGACTATTGGACAGGGAAGCAAAACTCTCATTCACATCTTATTCACAAAAACTAGACATCCATCTTTTCCTGAACGCGTCTTCTTGAACGTTCCTGGATATTCATTGACTCCAATCATTCATTGCTCAAATCCAAGTAAATGCTACAAAGCGACTTCACAAATTCTCTTTTCAAGAGACGCAAAACAAATTCACAAGAAGAAAACATGCTACTCGAAGGCCTCTCCCATCAGTAGTATCACCGTTACGCTGGTTGTGTCAATCAAGTGTCCAGTCTGCCAGGACTTCTCGGACAGGTAGAGCGACGAACACTTAAAATCTGCCGAGCAATATGCGGTTAATTATGTGTGGATTCTGCAGTCGAATCGAAACCAATTCCTTTGGGGGAATCATTCTGTCCTGGATGCGAAAAAGGCCTCGTCAAAATGACATATATGATGCTGAGCCCAAACTAATGGTTGAAGTGACGGGAAAATTTCGCCGACTTCTGGCATCCATCCTCCCAGCAGGAAAAAGCTGCTCTCGATAGTCTAGAAACAGGAACTTTGCCTGGCAATGTAGTCAACGTCTGTCCAGTCATGTCCAGCCTGTGTGTTGGAACACCAGATTGTGTTGTATTGATTAATTCTACCAAGCAGTCCAGGTACTGGAAACCGAGCTTCATATAAGATAAGTTCCATATCTGGTCAGTACTGCAGCTGACTGAAATGCACCGTCCAGTTTGGCGCAGCGGTGTATAGTTTGTATTATTTCAGCTAGCACTAACAGCACTTCGGTTGATGATAACTAGCTTGTGTGACTGTTATACCAGCTAAGTATCTTGGATAAAACGATCACGAGAAATAAATTGTTCCTGGTCTTTAAGCGTAATTATTGACACTTGAAGAGATCTCAGTGAAAACTGCTCAACCATTGTAGTGCCGTTAAATATCGTCTATCAGTGGCATAGAGTGAAGTCGAAAATGATATGGCCATTGGGCTTTCCTCATTTTATCACTTTATATAGATATATGAAGTATATTATGTGTGTAATTACTTTATATGGGCACAAATAATATAGATATTGGATCTCATAAAGCACTTTATCCATAGGGTGGCCAATACGGCAATGATCCTTCTTTCCTAAACTAAATCTAGGAACAAGTTCCTTTTGAAAAATGTTTAGATGACCGGTGTTAAACCGCCGAGCTACCATATGGTTGATTCTGTTGCAACATAAGGCTACTAACTTCAAGATAGTGTACACATTTGGAATAGCCCGAGCAAGCTCTTCAGTCAAGCTCAACAGCGTAGATTGAGTGATTCCATCTCGAAAGCCACTAAAGTATTCATGGTATCGTGCAACTATAGTCCGTTCTGACTGCCGGCTACTTCTGCCTTAACATTCTGCCGGATGCTTTAATAACTCCATTAGTAGGTTCGTTCCTCTCCGGATTATCCCATCCAACTAGCAAAACCCAGTTTACAATCCCAATTATGCAGTCCTTCGATATGTGTGGTCATCTCTCCAATTGCTTGCGTTTTGCTTTGGAAGGAAAAATAGGTGATGAATGTGGTGATTTTGGTATATCAAGGAATCTGCATTCAACATTCTACTGTAAACAGTATTCGTTATCAGACAAAAACTATCAGGAAGGTCAGATTCCTGAAAGTAACCACAGAATACCGGAATCTACTGAGACTCTCAACCCCACTAGATGCTGACCAGACAGCGTGAGACAGCGTTAGATCAAGGTCAGATAACGCCTCCTCAATATGCAGCGCGTCACAACTTTGTATCAAAGCCAGACAGCGCGAGACAGCGTTGGGCCAAGGTCAGACAGGGCCCTCCAATAAGCGGAATAGCCTCACTGATTCTACGCTTATTCAACCATCATAAGTTGTCTGGGAACTGCTCACTTCACTGAGTACATGTTTTTCTAACCCATCAACTGCTAGGTTCACCAGGTCTTGTACATTCAATTCCACTGGTGTCCAGGAAAAACTTATTTCATTCTAATATCTACAGATGATATTTCGACAAGAGGCGGATGGTGCAGGAGTTTTAGAAAGGCTGTCAATAGTCATCACATTTTAGACATAAGCATAAAATCATGTGGCAGGATATACAGTTTCTGAACGTAGTTGTTGAATTTACTTGAGTTTTTCAGTAGTATCTTGAAGATCGTAGAATATCGGGCGTCCGTGTGACGGTATGAAAGAATGTATCACCTGATCAAGTAAGATCTAGATTTCGAACGAATCATTTTTGAAGTTGTCAAGCTAAAGCCACGGTCTGCATTGCGGTTGCGTCGGCCGTAGTCGCACCACGGAATGGTATTCCTTTATATTCAGCATAGTAGCCTGCAAGGTGAATAAAACTCTGGGTCATCATCATCATCATCATCATCATCATCATCATCATCATCATCATGTAATACGTACGTACTTGTCGTACAGTGGTTGTAGCTGCCACAATTTCTTTTACCAATGGTTCGGGGAGGTGGGGTAGCAGCTGTGCATTGCAGGTGGGAGCTGACATAATCGATGCGGAACTACAGCAATGTAGGTGGACTGTTAAGTGGGGGAATCGACAATGGAACTATGCATTGAAGGCAATAGCTTGGATGCGTGAGCACTACTGGGGGCGCGACTGGGACACGTCTGACAATGTCTCTAACAATTGATGTGGCCTGTCTCGGGGTTCCCATCCAGAAATACGGCAATGACCAGCGCAGCTGAGTTTACTTGTAATGGTTTTTATACTTCGCTGCCAAGTCATTGTTTGACCGCCTCTGGCTCTCTTCCACCCTTCATGTGGTTGTGTGAAGAGTCCTTCGAGGAAGTCGGTCGACTGGCATACGCAGCACGTAAAGGAACATCACAGACTGCATCCCTCAGGAACCGACGACGCTGTGGATGAAGCACTACCTGATAGTTCACTGCCGGTGCCCAAATCCTGATGTCCGGCGACTGATATACAGTGTCGACCGCTGATTAGGCATCAGCCTCAGCGACTAACGCAGATTGACTGCAGTCTGACGCGGTTTCTTACCGTATCAGTAAAATTAAGCTTGGATGTGCATAAAACCTTCCCAGAGTAAGGGTTGCCTAGAGGAACTATTAGTACGATGCATTGTACGGTCTCAAGCACTGCTCATAAAGTTGCTGAAAATTCCCCAACATCCCACGACTGGTCCGGTCCTTTATTGGGGTTCATCAGCTAGGCGCGTCCCCAAGTTTTCCTCAACCTTCTATTCTACTTGGACCCAAACTGCAGGAAGTCGAACTTATACGCTCATCTGCATACCTATTTGTTTGTCCCGAGAGATCCAACTGAATTACACCTGAACCTTTCGTCCACGATTTTCTTCTTCAGCTGAATGTGCTGCACCGGGCCGCCTCATGTTTCATTTGGTGCAATATTCGAGATGTCGCTACTCATAAGTTGCTGAAAACCTGACGACGGCCCGTAACCCGTTCCCCCCTCTTCGGGACTTCTCAGTTAGATGCCGTCACCGAATTTCTTCCAACTTGATCTTTGTCTTGGATGCGGTCCCTACGAGACCTCGAAAACTAGCCAAAATAGCTTTACTGAACAAGGAAGGGCGCATGGTGGAAACGGTATAGTTCCTGCACGGTGCTTCAAAGCACCGTCAAGTGCAAAGGACAGAATATCAGATCCATGCCATTCAGAAACGACTTACGAACTGTCAGTAACCCCTAGAGATTGAAGGTTTATTCTACAGGGTCCTAGCCAAACGTCCTAAACCTCCTGGTGTCATAATGTTCGAATTTGATGAGGAAACTGTCCAACATGGCTGTTTTTAATTCTCCATAGCGCAAAATCATTCGATTGTAAGCTGAAAAGTTACACTTTTCTACGTCGCCGTCTAGGTTTCCGTGACACATTTGAGCTCGTAGAGGCTTTCTTATATGGTAATGCCGCCTATCGATTGCTGGGCGGGAACTGAGCTGCCAGAGTATTCGATAAGGAGAAGACAGAACACGGCTTTACTGCCAATTCACAACATACGGAGTTGGTGCGTAAATATATAAGATGGCTGAACAGACAAATATGTTTGTTCACTCGCTTATTCGCCCTTGTTCAGCCAATGGCGATGTTTCTGCCTTGAGCATTTTCTCATCCGCTCCGCTGACCGCGTGTTACAAACCGTGTTTGGTAGGCTCGGCCCGTACACCTGCTATCCGGATTACGTGGTGACCGCTGGTGACCTTAGGGACGCGTCGTTCTAAGCACACGCTCTTTTCCGTCTGTACGCATCCTCACAAGTATGTACATCGACCCACTCACTATGGAGGTCACACTCATAATGACTGTAAACTGTGTCTATTTGATTTGGAGCTGGCACATGCGATCCTCACTCTCTTCTCCTAGCAAGAAGTATTCTTAGGGTGGGAAGCCCCCGTACAGTTCTATACCGACGGCGCCGTTATGTAACTTCCTTTTGATCTCTTGTTCAGCGACACTTCATTGGAAAACTTAGTCAGATGTTTTCGAAATTAGCACTCTGTCATACAATTCTAACGGAACCCATCCAGCTAGCCGGTTTGCCTTTGCAACAGTATACTTCATTTCGTAGATATTTAGGCTGACCAGACTACTCACGGTTCGCTTTGGTGATCTGTCTGCAAAAGGTTCGCCTCGACAGGGCAGTAACTTTGATTTCGCTCAACACGAAAGCAAAATCAATTTCTCAGTCACGCTTTAACGAGTCTGGCGAGGGAGATATGTTATGACGCCGCGACGGATCCCGGACGGGAGTGTATCATTAGTGTGCCCGAGGTAGTTCAGTTGTCAAGGTGTGAAGCTACTGACTGAAATGCCCGTGGTTCGAGTGTTTTTCCTGAGCTTGGACAACTTGCCAATACTTTAGCCTTTGTGCTTCCTGTGGGTTTTGAGGTACCTACGCACCTAGTGGTTATGCTCAAATGCAATGGATATCTAGAGAGATCCATGGCGACGTCCTTTCCGACCAAGTGTTACCGCCTTTCGATCTGTTGGCAGACGCACTGCCGCCTATCCTGTGGTCAGCCATGGTCAAACAAACGACACCAGTCCTCACCAAAAACATGGTCGTGTATTTCTTCTGCTGTAAAAGGGTCATCATCGAGGTCACTGTGTTGTGACGGTGAGCTATGCTGGGGTATGTCGACACTCGCATTTTGTGGAACTAGTTAAGGTTCTGTCCACAGTTTTAGTTTTCCCGGTAGACCGTTTGTGCCAGACAACAGCCAATGAGGGAATTCACCCACACTTCAGAATAAAACCATAGAACCAAACATGTCAGTCGGACGTTGGCTGCTTACCGCTGGTTCCATCGGTAAGTAGATAGGCTCTGGGAATCTTCTCCATTCTGGCGAGGTCTTGTAAAACCCGGATTATGTGGTCCATACTTGGTTGAAGCCAGACGGTATCGTATGGTGGATCTTTGGTCGGATAGGACTTATCTGGACAAATAGGTTTGGGAATGGCCACGTGCATAATTTTGCGGGGTTTAGTGTACAGCTCAATGCGTTTGGCAACAGCGCAACTGGTCAAGCTAAGGATTGCCCGAACCCTTTCGGCAAGCAGGGCACAGGCTGAAAATGAAAGAAAAAGCGAGAGCTTTCCGCCAAAGATTGTCCGCTTTCAAAAGTACACAAATGAATTCGCCAGTTTTTAAATAAAACACAAACATTGTACTAAACGCTATGAATTTCGATGCGGCATCGCGAGCTCCTTTCAATCCCCTCAAACAATCTCACAAGTGCTCAAACAGTTCAAAATTATGGAATATTGTTGTGTCGTAGGTGGCCGTCTTTTGGTTACACCTGAAATGAACCCGCCAGACTACGTGGTAAGGAGAAGACAGAGACCCCTAGACACATCTGTAGTGCAAGGACAAATGCAGAGCTTCTATGTGAGTATATATAGTAACCAAATGGCCAATTATGGGCATTCGCTTGTTCGGTCTGTCCAGCCAATGGCGACGTTCCTACCGCGGACAATTTCACGCCCACTCCTGTGGTCGCATGCTGCCAAACGTGTTAGCTAACTGTAGTGCAAGGACAAATGCAGAGCTTCTGTGTGAGTATATATAGTAGCCAAATGGCCAATTATAGGTATTCGCTTGTTCGGTCTGTCCAGTCAATGGTGACGTTCCTACAGCGGACAATTCTACACCCACTCCTGTGGTCGCATGCTGCCAAGCTTGTTAGGTAGGCTGCGTCAACACATCTGCTATCCGGAACGTGTGGTACCTTGGGGATGTGTAGTTCTCTGCACATGCGCTTTTTCATATCTGAAGGCGTCCAAACGAACTTATGTTCTACTTGAGACTAAATTGCTTAAAAACATCATAAACGAGAGATTCAGCTGGGTTCCAGGTTTGCAAATGAGTGTATTTCGCTAAGTTCGTTCGATTTGGGTTCAAGTAGAACATAAAGTTGACGGAAACTCAGGGACTGCACCAACCTGATGAGCCCCAAGGAGAGCAAAACCGGTCGTGGGCTGTCGAAGAATTTTCAACAACCTCATGAGTAGTGTATTACGCCTATACATGGTTCCGTTTACTATTTTTCGTTAAGAACACAATGCTCTTGGATGCTTACTCTTAAATGATCGGAAAGACTCACTTTAGGATAACATTAGGCACCAGGAATTTCTCCATAACTTAGATTCACGCTATCGAATAGTCCTGACACGGTCATTATACCACTGCATGAAAATCTATGACTAATGTGTCCGTAACTGTCCACAGGGGTGCATTACGACTGAACATAGAGGAGAAATTCATGGTTCCATTAAAACGGCTGAACGGATGGGATTCTGTCACGTTTACTTATCATTTCTCCCACTTGCCCAAGTAGTGTTCATTAGTAAGTGTCCTCATGTGACGAAAAGGAATATCGATTTCGACCAACGCGAATTCCTTCTGCTTTCCCCTACTTATCATTTCTCCCACTTGCCCAAGTAACAAGTGTTCATTAGTAAGTGTCCTCACGTGACGAAAAGGAATATCGATTTCGACCATCGCGCATTCCTTCTGCTTTTCCTACGCCACGCCTCAAGAGAATTCAGGTGCTCAAGTTGTCCAGGTAGTAGTTTCAGCATCATTAAACACATATTACTTCCTTCCATGATCTCTTAAAATCCGACCACCTCTCAGCTTGACACTGATCTGCAAGTGTATTCCAGTCGCCTTCCTGTTTTACAAGCAAAATGCTCTGACTGGGCGCGCCTCACCCTTAGTTCAGTGTTACGTGTTATGTGATTGTTCACTGTCCTCAGTCGCTTCCTAATTACGCTACCTTGCAGAGTGTGTGACAACGTCGTGTTGGTTTCACTGCCGTTTCGATAGAGGTTGGTCAGAAATTTTGGATCGCATTGATCCCGATGGATTTGTCGGTCCCAGTATATGTACCTTTAGCTGAGCGACCACCAAATAAAAAACTGAACATTAATACCAATTATTCGTGCCACTTAAACCTTTGCATATGTTCCATGAGTACTAAATTGCAGCAAGGGGACTAGCACGCCTACCTTTCTATACGATCAGCTCCTTTCCACAGGTTATATCGGCGTACGATATGCCTACCTCCACACTGATTTAGACGTCCATCAGATGGAGCGCACTGTAACAGTAGTAATAATTCTAGGCTGGAACTATGCATGGTTAAGCTTGTTGTCCCATGGAAAATTTCCCGATGAAGCTATCTACCTTGCTAGATAACAGGCTTTCATCGAATTCAGGCTGAATTGTATCATGCGAACTTTCCTCATGGTCACCAATATCGTGTTCATGCATCTAAGGGACTACCTGTTCTTTGAGTATCTTATTTGGATAATTGAAACAAATGTCGGATCTCAAGTCTCGCTCCAATCAAGCCCATATATTATGCACACTGACCAGAACTGTTCCTCGAAACAACCAAGCGACTGATTCCGAGTGCTGCAGTCTCCATCTCTGATCTCCAGCCAAGCTCTGTCTTCAAGACATCAAAGTTGTGCGAAATTCATGGGCTGCGTTTGGAGCCCTCGGTTTATTTGCTAATGAAGGATCGTCTCCGGTTGATTCTGTCCCACATCCTCATTTGGGAGCTAACAAACGCTTCACTATATGTATTTTCATGCTCTCATTTTTGAACCGATGACGCGTGTTTACATGCGAATTCGCAGACATACCACTTAGAGACAGAACAAACTAGCGAGCAAGACACGGTTAAATTTGACGACCTTGTAAAGGAAAATCACGAGTAACAACACCAGAGTCCGCTAAAAATACCGGTTTTTCTAAATACCACGGAAACTCACGTTGTGAAAGATCGTAGGATCTTAGCAGGAAAACGAAAGATGTGTTGACTGTATCTTGAGCGAGCCATCTTGTCCTCTCAAGCTCTGGTTTTAGCTTATCCAAGAGAGGCTGCAATTCGAAGGTGGAACTGTCATAAAATTCGTCGTAGATGACGCCTGTTTAAAAAAGCGAAATGTGGAGACGCTGTTGAATACATCTGCGCCACTGACAACTCTCACTCAGTGAAAGTATTCTCAATATGACTACATACTTTGGGATTCACCTCATCAGACTGGCACTGTCCTTGGCATGATTTCGAATGAGAAGTTGCTCTCTTTTCTCCCATATTCTGCTGTTACTCTTGCGCATTCATAGCTTGCATTCACTTTTTATGTTTGTGACCATGCTCTTCAAAAACAAATGATGATATAATAAACGATCTAATGGCGAGTATTCATATATGAGGACCGTTCAACCAATTTTTCGGGTAGTTCTGAAAAGAGGATAGTAGATTAGGCCTGCAAGGCCTCAGTCAAACAGTCACAGCTACGAGCAGCAATAGAGTAGCGTACCCCACCCGATGAACAAACAGTAGGTATATAGGTGTCCCAGGAAACAGCGCATGCAAATCGGCGATAAGGCGAGAAAAGTAGGTTGATATGCCATCGTACCATAGGGACTTTGATGATGCCCTCAGGTAACAATTGATGTAGCTTGGAAAACGTACATGATATCTTGGGAAAACATAAGTGTGAGTGGGTTCGGAATAAATTTGGGAGTGTTGCATGTTCATATTAGATATATATGGACAATTCATCGACAGCGGAATCAACAGTGTGGCGGACGGAACTGGTAAAGAAACCAATAGGGTTGTCCGGCAAATGGGCATTCTATAGTATTCAGTTATGAGGGCGTAGTTGGATGGGGAGCTCGTCAAACTCCGTATGATTTTCTCGTGAAAATGGGACTGTGGATTAAGTAACCGGATTTCACAGGCCGCATCCTGTCTAACTCTCAGTTAAGCACACTGCTGATCAAGCCCTCGTAGCTGAACGATTTAGCCTTCAACTGTCAGCCGGTAGGTTCCTAGTTCGAATCTGTCTAAAAGTCTTAGAGATGTACAGAACTGATGATTTCCAACAAGGGTGAGAGCTGTACAGAGTTTCTCAGCTCTTCGACAAAGAAGGTGCAAACTCAACCAAGTGTATTCGTTGAAACCTAAGGAGTCTCGATTAGGTTTTTTCTATGGTGGTGACAGACTAGTTGCCAAACAAAACTCTGGTTAAACAATGCAGAGCATTATGCATTCTGCGTTAAGCTTCCAACTAGAGTTTCATTAGAATCAGGATCCATTTACCGTCCAGTTCAAGAATAGAAGAGTCAGGTAGGTCCATCAACAAAATGTCCCCGACTTCAAACATCAAGTTTGCTGTAACACTAACTAAAGAAAACACCATACCAAGTGCTATTCAGTGCTGTTCAGACAAGATGCCCTATTGACGAAGAACACAGAGAAACACTGAAAAAAACCCGGACGATATAGTTAAAGTCTTAGAGATGTACAGAACTGATGATATCCAACAAGGGTGAGAGCTGTACAGAGTTTCTCAGCTCTTCGACAAAGAAGGTGCAAACTCAACCAAGTGTATTCGTTGAAACCTAAGGAGTCTCGATTAGGTTTTTTCTATGGTGGTGACAGACTAGTTGCCAAACAAAACTCTGGTTAAACAATGCAGAGCATTATGCATTCTGCGTTAAGCTTCCAACTAGAGTTTCATTAGAATCAGGATCCATTTACCGTCCAGTTCAAGAATAGAAGAGTCAGGTAGGTCCATCAACAAAATGTCCCCGACTTCAAACATCAAGTTTGCTGTAACACTAACTAAAGAAAACACCATACCAAGTGCTATTCAGTGCTGTTCAGACAAGATGCCCTATTGACGAAGAACACAGAGAAACACTGAAAAAAACCCGGACAGATATAGTTAATCGTGGATGAATGAGGTTCCTAGTGAACATCAGTCTGGTTGAATAAGTGGTACCGTAGCAAGAGTGTATTTGACCGATTGCTTCAACTAGTAAGGTGATTGCCAATTTATTGTAGTACTTGGTATGATGTATATTGTTGAAATGATCTGTACTCTCACAATTATTGTTCATTCTTGGTTTATCCGGTCATCTTTTAATTGATTCCACCTTGAATCGTGGTCTGTTTTCTGTCTGGTCTGTCAGAATGATCGAAATCCGGTAGTCTTTGTTTGATCAAACTCTCCTAAAAGGGTACAGTTCAACCACTCGCCCAGCTGATTGGCACACGACCGCACAGGGTGCGTTTGGTTTGTCAGAAAACGTCTACGTTACCGAGTGTTTTCCAAACTTTTCCAAAATGGTAGTTTGCTCATTCTCTCACCTATCATGTTCTGTGTAGTTAGTGAAAGCGGTTAGCATTGGGACAGAGAATTTACTTGTTGGTGATGTGGATCCGGTTCATGGGTCGTCGTTCAGAAAGGTATGACCAACAGTCTGTGACTTTATTTTGGGGCAATGATTTTGTTTTTGACACAGAACCTTTTTTAGGCTGATGGAGGAGATTACTAGGTTGAGTGAGTTTTAGTCCAGACGGAGAGATATTTACCAAGACCTTTTTTAGACGAATACACGAAATCAATGTTAAGTATCTGTCCACAGTTTTTTTAGTTAGTGCAAGTGACAATGGGGCAGTCTGAAAGTGCCTTACCAGATTATTCCATTTATATCTTCATGCTCTCACCTAACGGTTTTGGACGAGACGCGGAACGTATTTCTCGGCATACCAGCCCCTGCTGTTTAACATGCTTTTACCCGGTTGGTTTTAAAAGGATGTCCTGCCGCTGGACAGAGTTAACCAAACTTTTGGCAGCCCAATGAAGTTGATTTGGAGATTGCTCATATTCACATCCTTCGTTTGAACAGTCGTCTCTTTGTCCTGATGTAATTATTCTGGCGAGTGCACACCAAAGAGTGGAAGCACTGGACTCGTCTTCCACTCATCAGCAGTGCATGTCATTCGCCACGCTGGGGTTCGAACGCCGAACACTTGATATACGAGGCAAGCGTGTTACCACTACTCCACCAGTGCAAGCTGGATGCATAGGAACTTTCACATCCGAACGGATGAGAGTTTCTTCTACTTCTTTCACATTTCTGCGGATTGTGGGTTGACCCTCTCTACCTCCCTTCCGTTCAGCTCCGATGGGCATTCGTCGACCTGGTGTGATGATCATATTCCTGACAAGTATTGATTGATGGCTGAGTTATCCATTCAAATTGAGTAAGCGAATGAGCGAATATTTCGGTGGAATCGAACCCTAAGCTCTTCATACGTCATTACTGGTAAATGATAAGCGAAACCGGCAAAAATGACTAATGATTCGCCTGAACGAACAGGTGGGGGGACTATTCGACAGAAGATTCCGGAAGCTGATCCTGCTATGTGCCCTAGCAAATGTGAAGCGCTCTCGTGATTCTATTGAGGGTGGCTAGGATACAACGGCAGCTGTCAAAGAACACAGTCGGTCCACACTAATGAGGTTATTAGAAGGGACATTAAATATAATTAAATGTGATATATAATGTATAAATACGAATAAATAAATGTAAAATTTAAGATATATATAATATATAATATAATGTATATAATATAATATAAATATAATTAGATGGACGTAGTGCACTACTCATGAGGTTGCTGAAGATTCTTCCACAACCCACAACCGGTTTCGCCCTGCTTGGGGCTCATCAGGTAGGCACGATTCCCGAGTTTCCGTCAACCTTATGTTCTACTTCAAAACCAAGTTGCACGAAATTAGCGAAACACACTCATAAGCAAACCAATTTCGTTTTGAGGAAGACTCCCCTGGAAACCAGCCGTATCTCTTATTTATGATTTCTTTCAAATGATGTTTGCAAATGAGTGTATTTCGATAACTGGATGAACTTTTTTTGGTTTTACAGCAATGAACCATCAGTGTTAACCCTAATATTTCTGTCCCTGATAATGACGCTAATGATAATGAACAATAAAAGTGGTTCAATTCTGGGAGAAATCATAATAATCAGTGACGACAGATGGTGTCGAAATATATTTGTTCATTATCATTTAACTACTGTGCCCTGGTTGATGTCAAAATGCGCACCAACAAGTCTAGATATGAAAGTACGATATATAAGAGTCGATCCAGAATAACCAAGCAACCAGGGGACAGACAAATGAAGGGGTGGACAATCCTATCATTATAACAGCAATAGTGTCTGCGAGAAAATACCTGAAATTGCGTCATCTGCTTCCACGCACAATAGTAGTTCGGAACTGAAAATCAGTTTGTTGATTGATCCACCGCGGACAGATCAGATGACATGGTTTGCTGACTTCGTCATCCATCAATTGAATAGGCTATCGTACCGTCCCGTTTTTGCATAACCCCCCTCAGACACGTTGGGAATTCACGTTTTTTCCATAGTTTTGGGGGATGATTAACCACCGATGATCACATGTTCATTAGCTGAATAGCTCTCAGTTAAATAATCTGCGTTAGACCATTTGTTTTTAGCAGTCCAGGTCAGGCTGAAAACCGCTTTCCCTAGCATAAAACTGGGCTTTCAACCTTTCGGCCATGTGGCTAAGAACTGCTGCAGTTGTATTTCATTTTAAAACCCTCATTATCATGTATATTTGAAGATCATGGTCACAACCATGAGAAAGTAAACCCAAGCGATAGATGTGGTAGGGTGCACAGGGGAATACTAGATAATAATCGAGAGAAAAATCCCACTCAAATTCGTCCTACCAACAGTTTTAACTAGACAAGGTGAATCCAAAAGCATTAAGGATGTTTGATATGGAAATACGCGTGTGAATACCAGCAACCGAAGGAAGGAAAAACAATACTGATTGCTGCTCAAGGGGGCAGTAAGCGCCAGCACAACGAAGACCCACACATCGGGCAGAAAATGTCCGCCCTACTGGGTTAGGTGTCAGAGTCCATGACAAGAATGAGCACTTAACGTCATGTAAAACGCATAAATGTTGTAAGTACGTACATAGCCCAAAATGGCAAGCAAACACAAGTCACTGACTGTGGTTTTAGGAAGTCTCGACTCAATAACAGCCATGGCAGATTGAAGAAAGCACATCCATCGATATGAAATGATCATCGGTTGGCGAACCAAAAAGTCAACACCACATTCGATTGCACGTAGGGTTACTTACAAAACTACTGAAGGGATGCAAATTACTGTCACAGATCCCTACAAATCGTAGTTTTTGCTTAGCCCACGGGGTGTGATATATGACAGACTCGAGTGCATACGATTACAATCTGATTCGCGGAAGATAACACCTGTGAAATGGCAATAAATAAAGAAAAAATCCTGGCAGCCCTAACCAGGAGCTTTCAGTGATGAATGGAGTGAGGCTTCTGTGGGCTAGTCTTAAATAATGCTCTTAGAACAATGAAACGCAGCTCATAAAGGGCAGAAAAAAACCGTATCTATTTCATGAGTTTAAGATGGTGGGGTGCCTAGAAATGATAAAACCGAAAGTTGAAAGTGATTGTCGTTATAAGTTCGCTGGTGTACTGTAGTGCGCGCGACAGCTAACAGGATTTTGTGCCGTTCTGGCGAAAGGCAACTGAAATATATGATATAAACTTAACACACTACTCATAAGCTTTCTGGAAACTGTTCGCCAACTCGCGACGGGTTTCGCCTTTCTTGGATCTCATCAGGTAGGCACAATCCCCAGTTGAAGACAAACATCATAAACGAGAGATTCAGCTGGGATTCGGGTGAGACACGGTGAAAGTCACACTGCTATGCAAATAAAGTTTATATGGTGTATATTATATGGTATATATGGTGTTCTTTTAGACTACCTACGGTTCGATCCTTTTGTGCGAGATCACTGGGTGATTCTCTTTGTACACTCTGTAGAGGCTGTCGCTTATTAGGAAAGCAATGTGCCGACCTGGGGGCCGAACAAGGAGAGGGTGACTTCAGAACCTTTTAAGTGAAATGTGAGTTGCGTTATTCTCGGTGTTTTTTTGTTTCTGGTCATTTTAGTGACAAAACTTACAATGTTGTTAATTTTTCGTTCGTGTACACTTTATCCTCTGATCGGACCCTATGATTGGTCAAAGTCAGCATTTATTGATGACGGTATGGCATCGAGGGGTTACAGTAGTGTTACGTCACTTCGGAAAGCGGATCAATTGCGGCTCGGTACTGTGTCCAGACTTACTTTGAGATCTTTACGAAGACTGGTACATTTGACTTTCAAAAGCGACAACCCTAAGAACACATCAGTTTCTTCAATCTTCTGAATTCACTATTAAAGTTGTGGTCTTCTGTTAGGACGATTCATTTCGGAAAGCGGAACACTCTACAAACTTATTGTGATCTATACTTCCCTCTTAAGGATCGTAAACGTCGGCTATGCTCGCCTAACATGCATCCAGATGCCAGTAGATGGATACGAGTTACACACACGCATAGAAGAACTGTACTGACATATGAAAGCATCACCGCGGTATACTCAACTCCCATTGACAGCAGCCATCCTATGGGAGTCCGGCTTTGGAAATCCGGTTATCCTGGTTATGAGGAAAGCGAGTAACTGATGAATCAGGATCTCCGTTAAAACAGTGTTACAACCAAAAAAAGGTATAACAGTGAACAATGGTCTACAAACGTGCCAAGAAAAGAAAGTTGGAGAATTAACTGCTACCACTGTTTGGCAAAGCCGATAACTATTTAGAAAAACAGACAGACTGTTGTATGTCTATGCCAATGAAAACCGATGAATGAGAATCGATCGTTACTCAGTATCAGAAAAAAAAACAACATACCCACTCACCAAGACGAAAAGTATAGACTGACTCTTCAGCGGTTATTCGAACCAGGGCGATTAGTAGTGTCAACAACGTGTTGGAACAACAATGAGGGTAACATTGAGACCTCATGCGTGCTAAAGCATCGGAATACCGTTTGAGTTACAGTCAGAGATGCTTTTATAGCTTGCCTCTACTTCCAGTGGCCCCTAGTTCTGCCCAACCTCAGACGTAGCTTTTGGCCAGTAGTTTAAAAACAAATTAACCAAAATGCAGCTCCATAAAGACTGATCGCTTTTTGCGTGCAGCCGTCACTGATGTCTGTGTGTGTGCGTGGGGTGAGATGGCAGTAAACAACTGGTGATGACCTAATTGGTTCAAATGCACTAGTCTAGCTAAAGCTTGTTAAAACCGTTTACTTAGTTCATACAATGGGACGTCAATTTGTTGTTGTAACGAACTACTTGGGAACCAATTCATTTAGGTGTACAACGATTAGAATTGTTTGTTTACTCCCAGAGGACTCACGTGAAAATGTGTCGGGAATAGAAAACAAACCATACGACTTCAGAATAATCAGTAGTCGAGGAAACCTCCATGTTTTCGGAACACAAAAACACAGGTGAGCTTGCATAACAAATAGGAACGCGAATATTCATTGGTAAACAACTCTTAAATGGATGTTAGGCCATCAGACCAGCAATTAAAGAAGTTCTATGTACGAATTTTTGTCGAATGTGGAGAATTCGCAAAGGGGGAGGGGCTTTTACAATTATCTCCTAGATCCTCAAAGGCATGTTATCACAGGTGATGCATTGTTTGCCAGCCAAAATGCTTTGAAGGATGTCCCTTAAGAACGTATAAACAGGGAGATTCAGCTGAGTTCCAGGTGAGTCTCTCGTCAAAACCAAATTGGTATGCAAATGAGTGTATTTCGCCATGAATGCCCCTTGCTTTTCACCTATTCAAAGTACTCTACGCACAACAGACACTTTAAAGTAGTCCACGAAACTCACCAGAGTGAATCTATTTTGAAGTGAGGGACACACTGCTTGACACCACACACACGGAAACCAAAAGGAGTCCACAGGCACACTGTTGCGGAAATGAACCAAGCCATCAGTCGGCATTGGCTTTTAGCCTGTGGACTCCCACTTGGTAGAA